CAGGTGAACCAAACAGAAAGTTCGTCGCTCGGTGCAGCAGTGTCACAGCCAGATTCCGATCAGAAACTTCCCAAGCAGTGCGCGATCGCGCTAGATTCAGATCTAGAATCAATTTCCTCTCTCCAGCGTCTGAAATTTTTCCGATATCGATCTTCGAAACGATATCGGTCGCTCGCTCGAAGCAATTCGAGGCGAGATCGAAATTTTTGAGATTGATCCATATGAGACCGGTCCTGTGGTAGAAGAGAGAGCACTTGATCATCGGAGACGGGACTCCGGTGACATCAATGGAGAGAAAGAGCATATCGGCGGCGACATGTCTTAAACTCGCAATGATCTCCGCCGCGGCGGAAGAGGAGGAGCGTAGGGAAGCGGCGTTGGAGAGGTCGACGCAGGCGTTCCAGAGGCGAAAGCTGAGCTTCCATAGGTGGAGCTTGAAAGAGTTGCTGGGGAAGGGAGCGAGTTGACTCAGCCGAGTCAGCGCTTGCCTGAGAGAAGAGGGAAGGGACTCGGTGGGAGGGTGATCCTTGGAGACAGATTCGGCTTGGTGGATGGAGAGCTCGATCTCGGAGAGGAGAGGATGGTGAGCTTGAGGCTCGGCTTCACGGTGGATTTGCCGGAGCTCCGGCGTCGAAATCTCGGCGATTCTCATTTTTTTTGGCGGGAGATCTCCAACAGAGAGAGGGCGACGAGAGGAATTTCAAAAAGCTGAGACAAAATTCAAATGTATGGACTACTGAATAAATACATATATATATGTATGTGTGGGAGAGAAAATGTTTGTGATTCTCTTTGGTAGAAGTGATTTAAGTTATGATTAAATTATAATTATATGCATAGATAAATACATATATACAAGACTGTACACACACATATACACACAAACAAAACATATATACATGCAAACAAAAACAAGCATAGGACAACCATCTACATAAAAAAAAAGAGTATATATAAATATATAACAACGGCGGTACCATAGTATCAACTTGTACAACATTTTGAGGATATATCATATAGTTAACAACCTTAGGGATTTGTCCATTTTTTTTTTGGCGGGGGTTTGGTCCTGCAACAGCAAATACTAAAACCATCCGTACACAGAAACATCAAAGGACGTAAGGACTAGAGGGGTTAAAAAAAACTGCCCATACGAGTACAGTCATATTCCCTTCATTAGCCAGTGGATTAGTGGAAGTAAGGAGGAGGAGGAGGCTGGTACTGGTAGCAGTTCCCGTACAAGTTCCCGTTGTGGAATGCGTACGTTGGAGGAGGAGCCATGAACGGTGCTGTGTTGAGGAAAGCTCTGTTCTCGTACACGTAGTGCGTGTACCTGTCCAGGACTCCGCCGTTGGCTGGGTTAGCTGCGGCTCGGGGCTGACCACCGTGGCTTGCACGTGGTCGTTTCGGCTGGGGTTTGGTGGGTTCGATTCCTCTCTTCTTGTCCGCTTTCGCTTTCTCGAGTTGAATGACCCGTTTTTGAAGTGGGTCTACCTGGTATTGCTCCTCCATGTTATGCTCCTCGATGCACTTGATTACTGCTTTCAGGGCTGCGAGCTCTCGCTCGTTGAACTCATCCTACAACGCCAAAACACGTATCTATGCTAATTGGTTATCATGCAGGCTTGTCTGGCTTGATCAAATTGCAGCAAACTGAGCTAGAGATGGACAGATTCTAGTATATACAGAACAAGACAGATGGATACACCGATATGAGTATAGGGTATCAGATAATATACTGAGTAATCGATAATGTCCTGAATTGGAAAGGCCTACGAGTTTAAGGGTTCAATATGGTTCAGACAACAAAGAGCTCAATACCGTTCAGACAGATATACTAGTATTTGACCTGAATAATTCATGGAAGTTGTTTTTCTCTGGAAAGATAATACATTCTGAACAATGTAATGCATGAGGATCAGACAGAGAACTTGCCTCAACAGTGGGAGATGCATTGCCTGGTTTGCCTTGGGAAGAAGCTCTTCTTGCCTCGGCCAAGTAGGATTTCAATAAAGCCACAGGCGGGAATTGTTCAGTGAGCTCAAACGCGAAAGCCAAGTTAACCGCATCGATCTGCCTTCCACTGTTGATAAGAACTTCAACCACACCTGGAAAAGAGAAAACAATGCCCAACACCATAGATTAAGATCAACGGTGAAGATAGAGAACTTGGATGGGCTAAGAAAAAGTTCGATCCAAGGTAATTTCGTCTCATATTAGATACTGTTGAGCAATTTACAGAAAAACTTCACAATTTCATAATATGTAAGAGAATCAACCACAGCCTTGAGATTAGAATATAACACACCAGGCATTTTCTCTGATAGCCCAAGGGAGCGGAACAGCTCAGCAGCCTGACGACGTCGAGAAACCATTGGAACAAGCTTGGAGAGTTCTTCCTCCTTAAATTCAGAAGCAATGCCGAAAGCTGCCAGCAGTTGCAAGAAGGCATGAGCCTCCAACGAATTCCCATTGCTATCTTCAACGTCAAGAGTTTTTAGCATCGGCCTCCATCCATCAGCAATAGTCTTTGCCCTCTCCTTAATATCTCCTGACAGGACAGTAGCGAGTGAAGTTGGGTCCAGACCAGATAACAGAATGCTAAGGCACTCCATCAACATGATACAGGTCCTTCGAATACCCAATAGGTTCGAGCCTTTCTTCCCATCAGAATTTTTTGTCTCCACAGGGTAAAACCCTGTCAAAGAGTCAAGAACCAAGCTGGCTGGATTTGCTGCAGCTTTAAAAGCAAATGGAATCTCCTCCTTAAGCACTGCAAGGTTCTTACGGTTATCCGATACAAATTTATGGAGCCCAACAGAGTCCATGTCCTCACAGAGTTTCAGTAACTGAGGATAAGCCTTCACTTCAAAATTTCCCATCTCGGGAGAGTTCTGAACATCTTCCACAGTACCGTCAGCAATATAGCCATCAGGTGAATCCTCTGCAGCCTTACCGACCCGACTTTCACCGAGAGAGGTTAGACCAGTAGGCTCTACAGATGGCGTATTGTTGTACTTCTCCAAAGCACTGGTTATGGCAAGCATAGCGGCATCTCTCTTCTTCTGAAGCCTCTCCAGTGAAGCCTTCTCCTTGGCGTCCACATCTGCCTTTTTCTTCTCCAACAGTTCCCCGGCTTTCCTTGTTCTGGTTTCATACTCTTTTTCCTGGTCTTCCAGTTCATGAAACCGTCTCTTCAGTGACCTCTCCAGCCCATGAAAATGCTCCTCAAGTTCCTTCCACTTAAGATTCAGTGTAATGGCACGCTGGCTTTCGAGTTCAGCAAAGGCCTTCTGGAGTTGCTGAATCTTGGACATGGAGGAGTCCATGAGCGAAGCAACTGACTGGGTATCTTCCATCATGTAAAATCTAAAGAAAGAAGAAGAAAGAACTGTAATTAAGAGAAAGTCTGGACCAAGACAAAACTGGCAAACCATATTCAATTGGGAATAAGGCAACTTCAGACCAAACATACGGATCAGAAGCATAGATAAATCACAATCGCATAAGTTTCCCATAATAGCAGAACAAACGATCTGAAAACCCCCTAAGACTAATCACACAAACAGAATCACGTACATGTTTGCAATATCATATCGAAGAACAAGAAAGCTCATAGATACTAAATTAGACGAAATCAGACAAGAGCATACCAATCTAGGTGAATCAAATCTCTCGGCTGTCAGTGTCAGCTGAAACCTCCAAATTCATGAACACAAATCATCTTCTAGAACTAAACTAATATACGATCATCCACGAGTTTCAAGGAAAATTAAGCTAAAAACCGGAGAATAACAGCAAGAACCCAGCTAGTAGAACTGAAGAACGACGAAATGAGAGAACAAAGTAGCTGATTCTGATGACATCTCCACTCAATCTATAACACCCACCAATCTTCGACAACAAAACTCAACTCCGTGCAAGCAAAATTCATATAATTACACAAGAAAATCAGAGAACCCTAGCTACATCAAGCATCTAACAAGCACGAATTTGCAGCAAACAAACGATAGAAGAAGACCACAGAACAGAACAACATTACCCGGAGAAAAAAAAATCAAACAAAGAAACAGCTCGAAGAAGAAATCAAAATCCTCCAGGAGCACCGGTAGAACATCGATCCATCTCCAGAGATCGGGAGTTTTTTGGAGCGGCGTGGAAAAGAGAGAAAAAATCCCTAAAGGGAAGAGCGAGTGAAGAAGAAAAGAGGAAAGTTGAAGCGAGGCAAAAGCCAAGTGTTTTATAAGAGACCACCTTTTCTTTCTTTTTTTTTTGAAATCTGCCATTTTTTTTGGAGCGCACACCAATTTTGCTATTTCCAGGCGCCGTGGTAGCGAACTTGCTCTCTCCCCCACCTACCGGTTGGCGAGATGATGGAGTGGCAATAGCGAAACATGGAGTGCCTTTATAAGTTTTTCCACGTGCGTTTGTCTGAAGCTGCCGGGTTCTTCCTTTTTTCCCCCAATCCTTTGCCAATAGTATTGATCATTTCTTAAAGGAAAAAAAAAATGTTTACCATAAAATTATAATATATATTATGTATTTCAGAGTTTTAGCTTAAAATTTTACGGAAAATATTAATTTTATGAAATAAACATATCCCGATTAAATCCACAAGTAGGTAGGTGACAATAAATTTTGTGATTATTAAACATATAAATTTTTATTTTGATAGAAGATATTATATGATTGATATCCGTCCTGTCACAATGGAGAGCATAGATGTGGCTCATGACTTACATAATCCTGTAATTTAAATATTTTCTGAATTATTTAGCAATCAAGTAATTGTATTTTTCTCATTTTTATTAAACATGTTTTCTATAATTAATTACGATTAAAAAAATAAAGAGGAAAGAAAAATAACATTTGGGCCGCGGAGACATCGTTTTTCGGGCTTAACGGCCCAAAACAAGGTCTCGGCCCAGTTAAAGAAAGCCTACTACTCGGAAGTGACAAGTGATTGTGGTTCATTAAGGATTGAATCCCAATTAACCAACTAGAACCGGAACGATCCAAATAAAATATTTTCTCGGGTATTTTTCGTGTTTGGATTCTTTTTTTAAATAAAATATATTATTAGGTTTCAAGATCAAATTCGACTTGGTTCCGTTTTTATTAAAACCCATTTTTTTTTCTAAAAAACATTTTCGTTTTCTTTAACTTTATCCATTGCGTTTCGTGTATTAGATCCAATAAATTCAATATAACGCGCAAAGAAGTTACTTTTTAAAAAAAATATATATATTTTTTTGGTTGAATAAAAAAAATATATTGGGTCATAGCATTCCCATTCCCACTCTGTCCTTAGAATTCCATCAAAACCCAGTCTACACGAATTTTGAATTTTCAAACAATCTGAGTCAACGACCACGACGACGACTTCACTTTCCTTCTCTCTCTCTCTCTCTCTCTGTTTTCCCATTTGATTTGTGATCTTTTCTCCGCAGTCCCTTCATTTTCCACAGTTTCTCAACCTCCTCTTAAACACTCGCTCTCAGCGATGCGAATTGCTTCTTCTTCATCCTGCGCAGCTCCTTCAGCTCTCTTCGCAGTCTTTGGATCTTTATTTTCTCAGGTGGGTCTTCGGATTCTCGACTAAAGATTCGCTTTTTTCACTTGGGGTTTTCTCTCTTTCTCCGAGTTCATATTCATTTCCAAAGTCAACTTGCGTTGGGATCGTTAAATTCTTTCGAATTCGCAGCTTAGGAGTTGATTGTTCGCGATTATTATTCGTGGGTAGGACTCTTTTCTTGGTACCAGCTTGCTGAAATATGTTCTCTTTTCCCTGCTTTTGTGTCTGTCTTTGTTGATTTACTTTCAGGATTTGATGCTCTGGGGAGTGGTCATCTGAGGAAACCATACACAGTTCTCGGTCGAACTCTTTAGTTTATAAGCCCCTTTGGTGATCTGTTGGTGGTGGCTTGTGTTCGAGATGGTGGTCACTAGGCTAGTTTCCGTCTTTTTCGTTGGTAATTGTCTTTTGCTGTTGTTCTGTTCTGGTTTGAGCAATGCGAGTGAAGCAGATATAGCTTGCCTGAAAACCTTAAAAGAACAATTTAAGGATCCAAATGGGTATTTGTCCAACTGGGTGTTTGGCAATAGCACCCCAGGGTATATCTGCAAGTTTAGTGGTGTGAGTTGTTGGCACGACGACGAGAATAGAGTCTTGAGCATCAAGCTTCCTGGCTATGGCGTCGGGGGAGAGTTTCCTCGTGGAGTCAAAGAATGCACAAGTTTAACAGCCCTAGATCTGTCTAAGAACAACCTCTCTGGCACTCTACCAACTGATATATCTAGCTTTATTGGACTTGCTACGACTCTGGACCTGTCCTACAATGGCTTCTCTGGTGAAATCCCCGTCAGCGTGTCGAATATATCCTTCTTGAACACCCTTATGCTTAACGATAACCGCTTCACGGGTCAGATCCCACCCCAGCTAGCCTTGCTTGGACGGCTCAAAAAGTTCTCAGTGGCCAACAATCTCCTCACTGGTCCAGTCCCGAATTTAAACAGCACCATTACTCAGGAGAGTTATGATAATAACCTGGGTTTGTGCGGTAAGCCTTTGGATCCTTGTAGTGATGGCACTTCAAAGTCCCGTGGCAAAGTTATTGTTATCGCAGCAGCTGGTGGAGTGACTGGCGCAGCAATAATCGTGGGTATTGGTTTGTTCATCTACTTCCGTAGATTTGCTGTTGTTAGAAAGAAGGACGATGATCCCGAAGGAAACAAATGGGCAAAGGACTTGAAAACACAAAAAGGCATTAAGGTAAAAACTCATTGATTAGTGGAACCATATATAGTAAATAGTGTCATTTGCCTTGCTATTTTCAATGTATCTCAATTGGCTATTACAGTATCGGTCCATGTTGTGGTAGTTGTGTTGTTCTGAGTTATGTTTGTGGTGTTGATTTGCCAGGTCTCCATGTTTGAGAAATCAGTTTCGAAGATGAAATTAAGTGATCTTATGAGGGCTACGAACGAATTCAACAAAGATAACATCATTGGATCTGGAAGAACTGGAGCAATGTACAAAGGAGTGCTTGAGGATGGAACTGCACTTATGATAAAGAGGCTGCAAGATTCTCAACACTCAGAGAAAGAATTTATATCGGAGATGATGACATTAGGGACTGTAAAACACAGAAATTTGGTACCTCTTTTGGGATTCTGTGTTGCAAAAAAAGAGAGGCTTCTGATATACGAGTACATGCTGCAGGGCAGCCTGTATGATAACTTACATCCCACAGATGAAGCCTCCAAACCCATGGATTGGCCTCTGAGGTTGAAGATCGCGATAGGGGCAGCAAAAGGATTTGCATGGCTCCACCACAGCTGTAACCCGAGAATCATTCATCGGAACATAAGCTCCAAATGCATATTGTTGTCTGCAGATTTTGAACCCAAGATCTCTGATTTTGGTCTGGCTCGGCTGATGAACCCAGTTGACACCCATTTAAGCACATTCGTCAATGGAGAATTTGGAGAATTCGGGTATGTTGCTCCCGAGTACACTAGAACCCTAGTGGCCACTCCCAAAGGAGATGTTTACAGCTTCGGGGTTGTTCTTCTGGAGCTAGTGACCAGTGAAATACCCACGAGTATTACCAAAGTGTCTGAATCCGAAGAAGAAAGCTTCAAGGGGAACCTCGTGGAGTGGATCACAAAGCTCTCGGGTGAATCAAAGCTTCGGGATGCAATGGACAAGTCCTTGCTCATCAATGGCGTAGATGAAGAGGTCTTCAGAGTTCTGAAAGTGGCTTGCAACTGTGTTCTGTCCGCTGCTAAGGAGAGGCCTACCATGTTCGAAGTCTATCAGTTCCTCAGGGCCATTGGCGAGAGCTACCACTTCACCACCGAGGATGATATCTTGGTTCCCACAGAATCAGGAGGAGCTGATTTCGTCGAAGAACTCATAGTTGCTCGCTGATGATGAGCAAGGGGAAAGCTTACTCAAACACAAAAAATCTTTTTTTAGCTGTGATAGTACACATAAATATATATATATACACATATTCTCGCGTATGTAAGTATTGTTTATCTGGGTTCTTCTGAATGTTGTCTGTAATGTTAAATTACTGCAATGAGCAGCTTAGCTTGGCTTGTCTCTGTAACTGGTTTGGTCTGTCACTGGAAGTGGCATGAATCTCGGAATCCATGTTCTCAGTTCAATAAATTTTTGTATCACTTTGGTCTGTGATATTACCATATATGCCTCCAATGTGTGTGTGTATATATATATGGTGTTTTTCTAAAACAAATTACAGAGAAGAAAAACTACCCCAATCCTCTGATACATTGGACTCTTGTCTCTTATATGACATTATTACCTTACATTGTACTTCAACATGACAACACACAGGGTCTCTATAATACAAAACTCAAGGGAGGAAAATCACGGAACAGGTCGCCTTCTCGTATGGGTTCGGGTTTTGCTTTGAGGTCTTCTCGGTATCTTGCCAAAGCAGAAACCGCCAATTATAGCACCTACAGGTGCAAAGATGGCTGCACCAACTGCAAAACCTGTTCTGTTCATCTCGAAGGATGAATCACGACAAGGATCCAAAGGCTTACCACACAAACCCGGGTTATTATCATAATTCTCCCGAGTAATTCTGGTGCTGTTGAAATCCGGGACTGGACCTGTGAGGAGATTGTAGGCCACTGAGAATTGTTTGAGCCGTCTAAGCAAGGTTAGATCGGGTGGGATCTTACCCCTGAGGCGGTTATCGTTAAGCATAAGAGTGTTCAAGAAGGATATATTGGACAGGCTGACGGGGATTTCACCAGAGAAGCCATTGTAGGACAGGTCCAGAGTCGTAGCAAGTCCAATCAACATAGATATATCAGATGGGAGAGCGCCAGAGAGGTTGTTTCTGGAAAGATCCAGGGCTGTTAAACTCGTGCATTCTTTGACACCACGAGGAAACTCGCCCTCGAGACCATAGCCAGGAAGCCTGATGAGCATGACCTTATTCTCGTTGTCGTGCCAACAAGTCACGCCACTGAACTTGCAGATATACCCTGGGGTGCTATTGCCAAATACCCAGTTGGACAAATACCCATTTGGATCCTTAAGTTGTGCTTTCAAGGACATCAGGCAAGTTATATCAGACCAGGACGCATCACTAAAACTGGAAACCAGTAAAAACAAGAGGCATTTTGTAGTGAATGATGCAAGAACTTGGCGAATGGATGGCAACGTGCACACGTATAAGCCACGACTTGTGGCGAAGGGATTCCGTCAGATTCGTGGTATTGACTATGATGAGACGCTTTCGCCCGTAGTTATGCTGAAGTCCATCAGGATCCTGACGGGGCACTAAACCAACAATTGGGGCAATCCTTAGCCATATGTCCACGGCCCCGACACTTATAAAAAATGATCTCTCTAGATCGAGTGTCCTTAGGGTTATCTAGGAGTAGCTTCGGAGCTCGTGAAGCTTCGGGAGCTCTTCCTTTGTCCCGGAAGTCACGGGAGGCTTTAATCTCAGTTGTTTCTCTCTTAGGACCAGACGAAGGCTTTGGTGAATATGATGGAGGTCCTACTTGGGATTTTACTCTACTTAGTCGGGATTGTTTCCTTTGATCTTGCCTTTCTATTTGAACGGCTAAATGTAGGAGTTCGTGGAGATCACGGTAAGGATGACGCTCTACTTTGCGAGCAATACGTTCTTGGGGTCCATCTAGGAACTGAGCCATCACCGTCTCCTCATCCTCTTCGAGCTCTAATCGACTCCTAATATGCTCAAACTCCTCGAAATATTCTTCCACTGGTCTAGCTCCTTGGGCGAGCTTCCGATACTTCCTTTGAAGTTCTCGGTGGAAATGCGGAGGAACATATCTCTTGCGCATGAGAGCCTTCATCTCAGTCCCGACTTGCTCTACGTGAGCTCGTCGTCGCTTGGTGGTTTCCCGATCCCACCACGCTAGCGCATTCTCTGCTAATTGAGCAGCGGCATATTGGACCCTCTGTCGATCCGAATATGCATAACATTCGAAGATGTTATCCATACGGCGCTCCCAATCTAGGTATGCCTCGGGGTCTACCTTGCCTACGAAACCCAAAAGAAAAAGAAGAACAAAACGAATTGCTTTGAACCTTTACAGGAACTGATATTGTGGGAGACTTTTAAAGGCATCACAGCTAAATCAAACCCACCATTCACTGCAAGACTTTGAAAAGCCAAAGTCTTCTCCTATGTCCAATGAGTTTAATGAGATAACATAATTACCCTCTATAAACATAACACATTCATTTACTTGTTTATTGATCACACATGGATAAAGGCTTTGGACCAAGTCATAGCTCTATCAGATGACACATAGAAGAACATTCCATGAGCTGATGTTTTCTTGAATACATCAAAGATCAAATCTGCTGCTAAAACAACGGACTTGGCACATCTTCTCGACGATTGGCTCCTCATCATCTTTTCATTTCTTTGGTGGAAACCCTTACGGACTTGGCACATACTAACAGATAACATAACATATCAGTCTCTGATAGACTTGGCCTTCTTCACTATGAGTGAAGACTATGTGAGAAACAGGGGATTGCATATTCTCTCGATTCCCCGATTTCCTTGCAAACCTGGTCTAGAATGGCGAGAAAGTCTCTCACAACCACGAAGATTCGAAATGGATGAGCTTCTTCCTTGGCTGAATCCCCATGGAAATACTCTGTGATCTCCTTCACTGCAGAAAGTGCAGAACTTTCTCGAGTTTCAATCTTCTTAATCTCCTCTACAGCGGTTTCCAAAACCCGGCGCATGGATTCCCTGAATTTCCGCCATTGCCCTTCGGTTGATCCAATCCCCTCACTCAGTTGCAGAATCTCCTTGATTCCATCAATTCCTTGAGAAAGCTTTGAGACATGGCTTTCTAGGACACAGTAGTTCATGTCTGCAGATTTCTTGACATCAGCCAGCTCTGAACTGAGACTTTGGATCAGTTGCAAACCAAGCTTCCTGCAACGGGCTTCCTCCTCTTTTTCATTCGTGGAAGAATCTGAAAACTTGACGGTGTCTGAGAGACGAGCACCTTCTGATTTTATGATCTCCTGAAGTACATAACGCAAGAGAGTGGTTCTTCCATCTGTACCCTTTACATCGACGAGCTTGAGGAGAATGTCGAGTTTGCAGACATGATCATCACAATGGTTTGTTCCATCATTCATCTTGTTTCCTGTCTCCAGGACAGCTTCGAGAAGTTTCAAGAACATTCTGCTATTCTGCAGTTCCTCACAAGCAGCCTACAAAAGCGGATAGTTCGTGAGAAATAAATTTACCAACACACAAACTTCTACATCCCACATTGTCCAGTCCAGGCATCAGTTTACCTGTATAACATCGAATGATCTTTTCAGGTATTCAACCTCGGAATCAAAGTTAGCCACATAGATCAATGCATCAACCCTTTTGAACCCGAGAGGCACATCAAGCACGTCCTTGAGAAATTTCTCAGTTGGGCCAAGTCTGATCAATGAATTATCGTCAATCTCCTTCAATTTCAACTCTTCCTCTTGACTCGGAGCCATTCTTGATAAACTCTCAAGGAGTTCAACTCCGAGTGCATCACAATCACCTAAACCAGAAACCAAAGAAAACACATTCAGATTCTACAGACACATTTCTGAGAAGATACAACTAACAACAATATAGGGTTTCCAAAGGGTAATTTACCATCTACAAGGGCTTGACAGACATCACTCATGGTGCGGTTAAGCGCTCTAAGAAGAATACCGATATTCTGATCCCCTTTAGGATCTAAAACTCTGTTTTCTTGATTTAGAATCGGAGCATCACAGCTCCAACTCCTCTGTTTTGAGTTTGAACCTGAGGGGTTGGCAATCTTCCCCTCATTCAACCTGCCACACAGAACAGACTTGTTTAATAAGTGAACACAAAGAAAACGAAGTCGAAGCAGTAACAATACATCTCTTACTTGAACGAGCTGGAACGAAGACGATCCCATGACGTTCTCCGACAAGAACTTGCTCGGACTTTGTCCCAATGCAACGGTTTCAGCTTTGTCTTTTTCTGCTCTGTTGCTTCAGAAGTACCCGGTGGTAGTTCAGAGAAAGAATGCTTTTTCCACGGCTTTTGGAGCACAAAGGGCAGCGATGGCGGCACAAGAGGCGGCGGCTCAGGGACTCTCTGGCTCGAAAGAGGCTGCTCTCGCGGCGGAGGAGGCGGTGGCCGACAAGGAGGAGGGGCTGGTTCACTCGGTTCACTTCTACAAAAATCTGGAATTTCCCCGGAAGGATTCAGACTCTCAGAAGATTTATCAAGGTTGATTACAAAATCTCTTCTTGGTGATGCTGAATTCGGACACAGCAACACAGATTGCACATTTCGATTAAAGTCGTTCCATTTTGGCGGCGAACATTCGAGAAACTTCCTGAAAACTCCGTCCGGCGACGTGGAAACGGAAGAATACAGCGAAGAACGCCCACAGGCATCGGGTGTTATTATCGTACCTCTGTCGGGTGATGAAGAAGCTGAAGAAATCCGAGGAAACCCCACATTTTGGTTCCAGAAGCTAAACATCCTCAGAGACCCACTTCTGTTATGGCTTCTCGTCGCTCCTCTGTCCGGCGATGGAGAGGCTACTGAAAGCGACGGAGACCGAGGATTTTGCTCTGACGACACATCAGAGTCTCTCTGTCGAACCGTCGAGCTCATCGGCGGTGAAATCGTGACAGACAGTGACCTCGCCGGAGAACCAGAACTGGAGGACGAGCAGGAGCAAGTACTGTACGGAATGTTACTGGGTCCGTGTTCTTGACCCACGATCCCAGGCCCGTATCCAGGTCGGGTCGAGCTCTCGGTACAAGCCAGTGATGCCGGAGGCGAGTAGAATTCCTCTTCTTCGTTTCCTTCTTCCTCGGTGAGAGAATCCGCTGCTACATATTTCTGCTCGAAACTAAATACCGGCAATGGCGGAAGCGGTCGGATCTCCGGCGACTCTGGCTTCGAGAAACCCGACAGGGATTCACTGATCCTGTTGTCTCCCTGATCCTCTGCAGACTGCGAAGTCACGACATTGCCCAGGTAGAGAACCTCGGAGGTGTTAACAGTTACAGAGAGCTTGTTGGCGGTATTTCTCTGCGGTTGACAGAGTTCATGGCTGCTACTGTTGTCATTGTCTGAAGCAGAGCCCTTGGGTCGTTCTTTGAAACGACCGTTTTGCCCACGCCAGCGTCCGTATAGGAAGAAGGCGAGGCCGGTGACCGTGGCAATGGACAACACGGCGGAGATAGCTGGGATTAGAAGCTTCCGGGAACCAGGTTGGGGTTTCGGGGAGCGAGGAAGGACGAGGGCGGAGATATTCGCCGGAAAAGTGGCGAATGTCGCCGGAGGAGGCGGCGGAGGGACTGCGGGGTACAATGGAAAAAACGGGGAGCCACCGGGGGTAGAAGTGGAGGAGGGTACCTCCGGCGGAGGAAGGGCGGCATCGTAGAGGAGCCGACGGCGGAGACTGGCAGGGGAGGCGCAGAATAAGGGGGGAGGTGCGCAGGATAACAGGAAGAAGAAGAAGAAGATGGTGAACAGTGGAAACAATAAAGAGCCATGCATTGTGCAACTTTTTTGTCTGCAGAGTGGAGAGTGCAGTGACCAGTGAGAGAGTGTCCTTCGCACTTTGGGTGAAGAAGTTGATGGCATTTAAAAATAATATTTTTTTTCCTCCTATATACACTTAATAATTTCAAAATGAAAATCCAATGTGAAATTATTTTATATACGCAATAATTACATGAAGCAACTTTGAGGCCTTTCTTTCAAAAGAATCTTTTTGACTTTTTCTCCCCCTATACAGAACTTTTAAATTTTTTTTTATGGAAAACATCAAAAGTTTGGAAATTTGTACTGTTTTGCATGAAAACAAGTGAAAAGTTGGAATTTTTCACAAGCCCTTTATCATATTTATCTTTCTTTTTCACTATTCTAAAAACCCATCAATCATAGATTCAGACGGCGGAGACTGGCAGCAGAGGCGCAGAATAAGGGGGGGGGGGCGCAGGATAACAGGAAGAAGAAGAAGAAGATGGTGAACAGTGGAAACAATAAAGAGCCATGCATTGTGCAACTTTTTTGTCTGCAGAGTGGAGAGTGCAGTGACCAGTGAGAGAGTGTCCTTCGCACTTTGGGTGAAGAAGTTGATGGCATTTAAAAATAATATTTTTTTTCCTCCTATATACACTTAATAATTTCAAAATGCAGGATAACAGGAAGAAGAAGAAGAAGATGGTGAACAGTGGAAACAATAAAGAGCCATGCATTGTGCAACTTTTTTGTCTGCAGAGTGGAGAGTGCAGTGACCAGTGAGAGAGTGTCCTTCGCACTTTGGGTGAAGAAGTTGATGGCATTTAAAAATAATATTTTTTTTCCTCCTATATACACTTAATAATTTCAAAATGAAAATCCAATGTGAAATTATTTTATATACGCAATAATTACATGAAGCAACTTTGAGGCCTTTCTTTCAAAAGAATCTTTTTGACTTTTTCTCCCCCTATACAGAACTTTTAAATTTTTTTTTATGGAAAACATCAAAAGTTTGGAAATTTGTACTGTTTTGCATGAAAACAAGTGAAAAGTTGGAATTTTTCACAAGCCCTTTATCATATTTATCTTTCTTTTTCACTATTCTAAAAACCCATCAATCATAGATTCAGACAGTGGGCCAAGAGGGCAAGGGCTTCCTGTGCTCCTGCTAACGTGTGAAACCAAACTGGATATGAAGACTTATGTTTCTTAACTGTTGTCAGATTTCAGAATCAATGCTTACACATGTTATCAAGGAACAGACAAATGTCGAGAGGCAGTGAAAAACTCTCTGGATGATTAAATTTTCTTACTTGATTAAATGCAGAGAGCATTGAGGAAAAAGGTTTGTCAACTTGGCTTGAGCTGTAGTGACCAGCAAGAGATTTTCTTGGTTTGAAGATGTGGGTGGCGGCCAGTGTTGCCTTTTTGCAGGTGCAGTTATTGGCCTCCCTACCTTCACCGGTGCCCAACACCAAGCAACAACATACAAGAAAGAGAACTGCTCTTCTCAAATTCTCAGGATTTTCTTGGCATTAAGAACATAGAAGAAGACTTCCCCTTCATCTTCATCAAGTTTACTGTTAAAGAGAGCCTGGTGGTTCTATATTGGTCCCTCCATAGATGAGGCCTCAAGCTCCATTATCTGTTTATACCAAGAGAAAAACAATAATTAGTAAAACAGTTTAAATACACACAACGAAGCAGGAAAAACATTTACTTACTCTGTTCGGTTCAAACCGGCTTAGACCGAACCGCTCGGTTCGAATTGATTTCAGGATCTTCAGCTTCTAAACCGACCCGTTTAGTCTCGGTTCTGCCTGCTCGGTTCAAATCGGTTTAATCCCTTCATTAAACTATACAATACTCTGTTCTAATGTTACCAGACAGAACTAAGATATTAGAATCTATATATCTAATACGTACAAAATTTCAATTTTTTTAAAAAATTTTCCGGATAAATACTAAAATAATTCTGCAATCTTCCAAGTATCTTCAAATTCATATAACACAAGTTCATTTAAAATTCCGCAGCTTATATATTATGTTAGATTTAACAAACCACCATATTATGAATCTCATGAAAAAAGGCCTCTGAGACATAACAAGACAGCTTCAAGACTACATAGCCAAAAAGGACAATGCTTGGTTCGTCAAGACACTGAGTAAAAATATAAACCTCGACAGCAACGCAAAACAAAATCCCTAGCAGCACAACAGGGTGTGATTCTGGTTTACTCTTCATCTTCATCCTCATCATCATCGTCACCCGCTCCACCCGCAGAGTTCAGAGCCTTCAACCGCTCAATCAAACGAGCTTTCCTTTCCTCATACGTGAGTTTCTTTGCATTAAACCTAGACAAACCATAACGATCATATATAAGATCACTATATATATATATATATGTTTGTTGCTTTCTAGTGAGATGCCAGTGATTGTAAGTACCTCTTATGCTCCTTAGGAGGCTGTTTCTCTGATTTCTTCACGGATGGGTCGGCCCGGATGGCTGCATGAACCTTCTTGTACAATGCCTCCATGTTATCTGCCTCAATACCTCTCTTGATGTACTCACTGAAATGAGACTGGTACTTCTCTGGCTCGTCCTCATTCAACAGCTGCAAATTATACTCGCGAAAGAAAGATGAGATGACTTATCTTTAAGAGATTGCCATCCAACCGAAAAGAGTATCCTTAAGGCTGTCATTTGGTTTACCCTCATGTAATCAGCGATGTGACCACCGTAGATGTATTTCCTGTGAACTTCAGGGTCAAGCTGTTTGCTCTCCTTGTTGAACCCAGCAAACCTCTTGTCACTGTGCGGAATGTCAAGCCCACCATCCAAAGCACCCTAAGAATCAATAAAGGAGAGAAGACGATGAAGGGAATTCCATAGTAAAAATATAAGACAACCATGACTGACATGAGAACTAGCATGTGTGATCAATGCCAAGTACCTTAAGGGCACCGAAAACACGGTTTCCAGTTGTTGTCCTCACAAGACCAACATCGAGGAGAGCACGGAATGGCCTCCTGGTGTCAGTTGGCTCCACAGAGAAATCCTCTCCTGTTGCCTGTACAGAAAATAAACAGGCTCACAAATGATCCAGATAGGGTGGGTTCAGCCACATCTGTATACACAAAAAGTCAGTACCTCAACATTGCCCTCATACTCGCTGTCCATCTCAAGCATCTTAAGGACACGACGAGCCAAAAGGAGCCCAGTGCAATAAGCTGGAAAAGAAACATCAAGATTTATGAAAACATACCTCCAATATTGATAGGACAAAAAGGGGAACATCGGAGAGCATTGGAAAAGGTTTTAATACTACACCTGCAGCATAACTTGTGAGCCCCACCTCAAGGCCATAGCGGGGCAACTCATGACCATAAGCAGATGCAAGAACAATGTCACCAGCAATACTGGCAGACACAATTTGCGCGACTATGTCCTTGTTGGTCTATTATTGATGAAACAGGAAGAGAAACCAAGATTCGGACCATAAAAAAAAACTAGAGAAGTCAAAATCGATAAGCAGAACTTCAGTCAAAAGACAACACTGGACATAAGTTTTAAGATTCTTACAAATCTCACGACAAAACGGTATTTTGGGGTGTTGTACTTGTTCTTATCTTGGTTGATGAGGCGGATCCTGGCACGATAATCAGTCTTACCATCTGAAAAAGTAGAACAGAGATCAAATTTCTGGAAGGACAACCCAAGAACAATAGCAACGGTCGAGGCATGAAGAAGATAGCATACCACGCCTTCTCTTGAACTTCACTTGATACCTCTTGAAGTAAGCCTTGCTCTTTTGCGCTTTCACGAACGGCTGAAACAAAAAATCAATCATCAAGCACGCAGAAAACAGTAGAACTGTAGAAGCATAACCCAAATCCCAAGACACTATTCTATTCATGGAATCATGGCAGCAATTGCTGAAGAATAGGGTTATCTAAGATTCAACTACGAACGATGAATCTAGGATATACAAAGAACCCCGCAAACAGTAAGACTTCAAAACTAAGATTCCAAATCAGCTAAAGCTAATGATCAAACAATCGAAACTGCTAAAGAAAAGTACGAAAATGCGAGCAACAGAAGCGTAAATGACTAAACTTGATGACGAAACCTAGAAAAAAACAAACGAATCTATCACACTGATTGATGAAGTTACACTGATAATCCTTAAGAGAGTAACTCCAAGAAAGGATCTAGAACCGGGAGGGAGACAGAAGGTATTATCACCATGGCTGAAGGATCGTTGAGGCCGTCGAAACTAAACTATGTGAAATCTTTGGCGAAGAGGAGGGAGACGAAGAAGCGAAATGTTAAAATACTAAAACCCTAGCGAAGTATGGTGATATAAATCAACGGCCACGATTCGTTCTAGGTTTAGACGTGGCAATGTTAATCTCACTGCTCGGTGACAACAGCCCAAAAACAAGATAAATCGGGAATATATACAAAAATAAATAAATATTAAAATTAACAAAAAAAATTAAAAGACAGAAAATTTGGTCGGAATGGTTCCAGTGGCCTGTGACAATGCAATTAGAAGCGCTCTTTTGTATCTGGGGCATTTCGATCTAGGGTTTGAGCGAAATTGATTGTTCCAATGGTCTTCCCTCGAGTTCGTTTTTCGTTCGCCGGATCTCTGCAATGCTTGTCTCAAACTTTGGTACCGCTTCTCTGTTTCTGGAAATTTAGATTTCGAACATTGATTCCGGAGATTTTCGGTTTCAAAGTTTGGCCTTTTGAGTCTGTTTTTTTAGAAAGGTGTCGGATTCAGGGATTTGTTCATGAGGAGTCCATGAAATTGAAGCTTGATATGTTTTCCCAATCTTTGTCTGGTGTTGCAAAATGCGTTTTGTCTTAACTCTTCTTGCCCCATTACGCTATTGCTGCTCTGGATTTGAAGATACGCTTTGAACTTGGTTCCAATTGAATTCATTTTCTGATTATGGATCGGTTCGATTATTGTGTGTACCAAGTAAAATGGATGTTTTGTCTGCCTTGATTTCAGATGATTCGTTTAGGTTGATGAAGAACAGGGCTCATGTGTCCTGTGACAGGTACTATGAACAGGTCGAGTTTCAGTTGTGAACAAAATGAGACATGTCTGGAATTGTATTTGACTTGTGTATTTATGTTTCTCCAGTTTGAATTGAAGATCAAGAGTTTCTTTATACATGTATATGTTGAGCAAGAAGCTGAAATGGAAGATGTGTCTGATGATCTTACGACCTCAATCCTCCACCTTCCAGATGACTGCCTCGCCTTTATCTTCCTACGGCTAGACTCTGTTGCCGATCGCGATTCTTTCGGTTTAACTTCTCGCCGTTGGCTCAATATCCAAAACATGAACCGGAAATCATTACAGTTCCAATGCTCATTCGCGGTTCTTGATCGTTTTTCCCTGTCCCAGACGAATCAAGATGTGAATTCTTATCATTTTCACAGGCTGCTCAGTCGGTTTCAGTGGTTGGAGCATCTTTCCCTTTCCGGTTGCACAGAGCTAAACGATTCCAGTCTCGCCTCCCTTAGGTACCCTGGGGCAAGGCTGCATAGTCTTCACTTGGATTGTTGCTTCGGGATTTCCGATGACGGGATCTCCACCATTGCTAATTCTTGTCCCTATCTAAGAGTCATTAGTCTCTACCGATGCAATATCAGTGATATCGGGTTAGAAAAGTTGGCTATGGCCTCCTTGCCCTTATCATGTGTAAATCTCTCATACTGTCCTCTTGTCTCTGATTTCGGGATAAAAGCACTCTCACAGGCATGCTCTCAGCTTGAATCGGTCAAGATCTCAAACTGCAAGAGCATAACCGGTGTTGGCTTCACCGGCTGTTCCTCAACTTTGGCCTATGTAGACGCCGAGTCTTGCCAGCTCGAGCCAAAGGGTGTAACAGGAATCATTAGCGGGGGCGGGATCGAGTTTCTAAACATTTCAGGTGCAAGTTGCTACATTCGCAGGGACGGATTGACGGAATTAGGTTCCGGGCTTGCCTCCAAACTAAGAATCCTGAACCTAAGGATGTGCAGAACAGTCGGTGATCAATCCATCGAAGCTATAGCAAAAGGTTGCCCATTGCTCCACGAGTGGAACTTGGCACTGTGCCACGAGGTTAGGGTTTTGGGATGGGAAGCCATTGGCTATAACTGCCATAACTTGCAGAAACTCCACGTTAACCGGTGTAGGAACCTATGTGACCGAGGCTTGCAGGGTCTGAGGGACGGTTGTAAGAATCTTCAAGTCCTCTACATGAACGGGAACGGAAGGGTATCGGCTGCAGCAGTCGAGATGTTCAGATTACGGAGGGCCAATGTCGCAATCAAGGCAGAAGAATCAATGGCTATAGGACCAGATTGGACATTGCATACTCGAGGATGAACGAGTGTCATCTTTTTTCCAGATCTTGAACTTTAGGTATAAAAATGGCACATTATACCGTGTTTTGTTTTGCTTGTCGCGTCTCCTGGATGTTCTTTCTCAATGTAGTTATATTGTCAGAAAGACAATCCGAGCCAAGATGTATTATGATCGGTGTTTCGGTGACGTTGATGTATAAAAACCAGTCATTTTGATGCATAAAAGTCGAGCACTTTATTGAATTGCATGATACTTTAATGTTCTTCACCCATTACATTACATCACACATTTTTTCTGACACAACGGAAGAAGAAAAATGCACAACACAGCAACAAAAGATTTTTCGCAGTCTAATATCACTCAGTCCAACATCATCTGCAGCTTTTGAGAGAGAGAGAGAGAGTTTCCTCTCCGGACAGAGGAGACTCCATCTGAGACAAAACAATCTGGCTTTTGTAGTTCCCCAACCAGCGGCAAGACCGCTGTCTGCATTGCTATCTACATGTTCATTTTGGATGTAATGAAATCTTCGAATTGTGAACATTAGCTGTTGCCATTGTGGCCCCATACATTGTCCCAACCACCACCACCACCATTTGGTGCAGCGGCCATTTTAGGTCCCTCGAGATAGTTCTGGTTTCCATGGGGATCATGCGGCTGGTGAGGCAAGGGAAGTCCATCAGGCCCCACAGGATGCATCTTCCTTGGTTTTGTTTTGACCCCAAGTATCCTTAACACGAATCTCGCTAATTCCCCATATAACAAACCCCCACGATCAAAAAGCTGCAAGCAAGAATTTGAACGGTTGAAATGAGAACTACGACTTGTAGAGGCAGATGAATCGGTTTACAAAGAGGAAATTCAAGGTTGCAGAAACACGGAAAAAGATAGGTTGGTTGAAGGAAACCGAATAACCTGGAGGAGGGCAGACATGAACATGTGGAATGCCTGTGTGTTTTGGTCTATCAGCATAGCTACACGGCCAAAGAAATTCACAACACCTTGCATCTGCCACCAAAATGGATGCAAGTGTAGATATGTTATACTTGTACGCGACAGTCTAGATGATTAACATGTCTAATGGCTACAAAAATATTTGTCTCGGCTTCTGTTTGTGCAGCCAAATCATTTCCCAATTAGAAACCGAGAATATTATGTAGGAAAGAGATGATTACCACTCGAAGAAATGATATCCAAAATCCTGGAGGAGAGGGAGGTTCACCAAAGGGATTGTTTGGATCCTGGCCGCCATAAGGTCCCATGCCCATACCATAACCACCCATAGAACCACCAAATCCACCACCATACATTCCTCCCCCATACATGCTAGAACCTCCATAGAGACCACCATAACCTCCCCTATACATGCCACTACCATACATTCCACTCCCGTATGATGAACCATATCCCCCACCGTATGATGAACCATACATGCCTGAACCGTAACCAGAATTCATACCTAGATTTGAACCATACCCTGCAATACATATAACATAAACAATATTAACCTTTCTGTTCTATCAATTCCATAAATCCAAACACCGAAAGAATGCATCCCTAGGAATCATCCTAAAGATATAAATATACCGCCATATGTGCTCCCATAGTTTTGTTGCTCCCAAGGTCTAGTCGGTACAGGCCTACTAAGAGCATTTGTATTAGCAGCTGTAGTGGTTCTATTTGCAGAGGTAACTATTTCACCAGGTCTGGCGGTGCCAGAAGACTCAACGGCATCAGTCGTGCTGCCGTTTGTAGGAGGTTTGAAAGGTGAAGGACCAGATGTGCCCCCTGCTTGTTCCCAGGGTTTAGGAGGGCTGCCACCTGCTGCAACAAATTGAAGTTATTACATTTTTCAAAAAACATGATAAATTCTCAAAAAGAAATAGTAAAATCCCATCATATGAAAAGCAGATTGAGGACACATTATACAAGAAAACTCCAAATCACTCATTGACAGAACAATTGACATTAATGCAAAAGTTGTTTGAATTATTTGAGATGACACATATGAAACAGAGACAGAAAAAGCCATCAAAACGCCACCCAAAGAACAGAGTATGATAGAATCATGAACAGTTAACACATATTGCAGCCATCAAATGATAAAGCCTCCGATTAGAACAGAAAGACCATCAACATCTGAAAATCTCAGCTACTATAGTCAAGAGAACCAGGATCGAAACAGCTTATCACTAATGGAAGAACACTGATAAGATCACAATCCAAAGAGCCATTTCCATAAAAATTTAGAGTTTGTAGAAATGAAGCTGAAATGCGTAACCAAAGCTTAAACCACAAAACAAAGCTTTAAGGAAATGATTGCGAAACCCAGCTGTGACTCCTAACAAAGATAGCGAAACAGGTGCGGCGAAACCCTAAAGGTCTCTCTCCCTCTATAATGATATCAAGTGAACAAAAAGATCAATTCAATTCCAATCGATTGATAAGAACGGTAATTTTACTTCAAAAACATATAAAAGTCGATCAATTTCACGACTTGGAAGCAGAAAGCTTGAGAAAATCCATCAAATTTCCCAGAATCGCAGAAAAAGAATTCAATCGTTGACACCAAGAAACAAGAATCAAAGCTACGAGATTAAGATCACCGAACCTGATGGCTGAGACGCCATGGCTGAGACAATTCGAGAGCCCTTGTAATCTCCACCGTCAAACCTGAGGCGCGGAGAGAGAGAGAGACTTGAGTCTTGAAGACAGGCGGGGACCTCGAGAAGCGAGAGAACAAACGGATCACGTTCTACTTTTAGCTTATTGCATTTCTGCCCCGATATTTGTAACTAATTATCATATTTTTCCTGGGAAAAAAAACTAATTTGGGAAAAAGACGAAAGTCCGAAATCGAAATCGGGAGGAAAAAGATAAACATGATTGCCGTTCAAAGATTCCATTTTTCCGAAGCGAAAACCAGTCGGCGACCGTATTTTCCCAGCGCCCATTTCTGTCTGCCTCTCTGTTCCAATCCCGACGTAGATTTACCCTGACAATCTCTGCAAATTCTCACACTTTGGGTGAAAAATTCTCCGTAAAATCGGGGAAAGCAAGTGTCTCTATGACGAGGGCGGGAGTGATTACCGGTAGTTAAGGCGTAATTAAGGTCCTATCTGGGTAATTATGGCGGCGAGCGCAAACCCATCGGGGAGCAATCAAGAGGGTTCTTCGGCGACGGCAGCGGAGAAAGTGACGTCTTCCTCGGCGACGAATGAAGCTGCTGTGAATTCGGCAAATAATGGAGAAAATTCCGGTGGCTCCGGCGGTGGCGCCGCGGCTGCGGATAATAATCCGACGATTGCAGCTTTGAGGCATAACCCAGGAATCTCCGTCGATTGGAGCTCTGAGGAGCAGTCCCTGTTGGAGGATTTGCTAGCCAAGTGTGTCTTCTTGTTTCTCTCTTCATTATACCACCGTCGTCTTACTGTTTCATCCGCTACATATGTCCATTGTGGTTCATTGTTATCTACATGTTAGCTTAGTGAAACTGTATCTCTTACCCTCAAATTGATGTGCAGGTTTTTGCTATTTACCAGCTGTCTTGAATCGTGATCTATTTTGTGTTTAGCTGGTCTCAGATTAGTTAATTGGGTGCAATTTGTGTCATTAGGGTTTCTGATTTAAGCAAGAGCGAGATGGTTCGCTGGTGTTGTTCCTTAGCTTTTTATGTCTCAAGGCATGATTCTTTTCAAGCTATAAGCTTGAAGGATATGTTTTGAAGATAACCATTCAGATCGGTTCTCAGTTAACCTTGCCTTTAAGTTTAGTATGGTTGTTGTCAATATTTCCCTCACCCTTTGGTAAACGATGTTTTACAGGTATGCCTCAGAATCTGCCATCGTACGTTATGCTAAGATTGCAATGCAATTGAAGGACAAAACAGTCCGGGATGTGGCCCTGAGATGTAGATGGATGAATGTGAGTTTTCTTAATGCACTATCGCTGTTCGTTTCTGTTCTGTTTTATTTTTATGAATTGGTCTCCATCATTGTTAATGTCTCTTGTGTGATCACAGAAAAAGGAAAACGGAAAGCGTAGGAAAGAGGACCATTCGTCAAGGAAAAGCAAAGATAGAAAGGTGTGTTCTTCCTGTGTTTCTGCAGATTACTTATTAGTATTTTATGTCTGGGTAATTCATGCCTATAATTTGCTTGTTTGGGTTTTATAGTGTAACCTTCTTTTTCTTTCTTTCTTTCTTGCATTGTGTTGGATCTCCATCACTCTGGTTCACTTTAACATTTGCTTGTGTGGCATATGGAGAAGTTCACAAGACCAAAATCTAAATCTCGAATTGTACTGATTGACAGGAAAAAGCTACAGATTCTTCGGTGAAGTCTTCACCTCATTTGAATGTGCATCCTAACGGACCTTCATACGCTCCACCTATGATGACCATGGATACCGATGACGGTATATCTTTCAAAGGTTAGTCTGAGAATCTGCATTTCTTTTTTTATTTCAATCGATGCTCTTAGAGGTTGGAATAGAGAGGAGAGGCTCAATTGTCTTAAAACCATGTTTCTTGCAGCTATTGGTGGTGTGACCGGAGATCTTCTTGAGCAAAATGCTCAGATGTTCAATCAAATTTCCCCAAATTTCTCAGCTTTCCAGGTGAAATGCTCTTCTCAATTCAACGCAGTGAAAATTTATGTTATGGACTTCCTAATAATGTATGGTGGTGAACATAACTAGAGAATAGAGACCCATGTTTCTCTGATTATCTGTGAGTTTCTTTCTTGTTTCTTTCTTTGCATTGCAGATACACGAAAACATCAGCCTCTTCTGCAAAATCCGAGACAACATTCTCACAATCTTGAACGAGTAAAGTTTCTTTAACTCATCTTTTATGTTACAGGCCATGTTAGGCAAGCAGAGTTTATGCTTCGTTTCTCTCTCCCTCATTGTTTCTCTTTTCCAAGACAGCAAAAAACCCGACCGAGCAAATGTTTCCAAGTTAAAGTAACTAATGGTTGAACGACTCTTCTGCAGTTTGAATGACATGCCAGAGGTAATGAAGCAGATGCCCCCTCTTCCGGTGAAGGTGAACGATGAGCTGGCGAATTCAATCCTTCCTCACCCGTCTCGTCAAATGAAGTCATGACCTCTTATATAGAGAAGCTCTCATCATCAATGGTTCTCCTGACCAATTTCTCTAATCCAATTCAAGCAAAAAGAGGTGAATAAACCGGTCTTTTCCCCGAATCTTAGAGTTAGCCTGTTCATCAATGAACTTTAGTTCTGTTCATATATCCCTTTGTAGGGTGTAACGTCTTGTAGTAGAATGTGAATAGAGAGTCATGTTGTGACAAATGCTCTGTATAAAATTGGTTCAACGTGGAAGGTGTGATTAGGTTTATCATAAGATGCAAGTTTAATAGAACTGATGCCCAAAGTATGTGGCTTTTGTAACAAAGTCAATGTCTTTTGTATTACCTTCAAGAATTCCATGTTCAGATATCCTTAAGGAAAGGGGGGGAAAAGGCTCAAAGGTTGGAGAACCAAACCACAAATAAACAACGGTTAAACCGAGTAAGAAAACCGACCGGTTTGAATGCCGGTATGGGCATAGAGTAGAACCATGATAAAACCACCAATAACACACTACACTAAGGCATTTTGGTTCACATCCATTTGATATTTGCTTTCAAGATCCCACGACAATTACATTGGCCTAAACCAAGTCCCTACATTCCCGAAACACCGAAAGATTGTTTCGCCTGCTGGGGGGGCTCGAGCAGCGGTACAGAAAAGCGACGGGAAAGAGGGGTCAATCGGTGTTGTTGCATTCTGCTTCCGAGCTCAGCTCCTCTTCCATGCACTCCTTGCTCTCATCCGATCCATTGTGCTCATCTGTATCCGTGGTTAGGTCGATGACCTCATCAAAACCCCATCAGAAATTTGGTTCCAACTCTTCCAATGCTCGACCACATTTCCACAAAGAAGATAAGCAACCTTTTGGTTCAAAAGTTGAGCAAAACCCGAGGGCAAACCTGAAACTTCTCAGCCAAGAAAGCAAGGTATTCCTGATGCCCTTCCATTACGTACTCGAGATATTCGATGTTTTAAGTGTTTGGACAGAGGACACTATGCAAATGAGTGCCCGAATCGAAGAACTTTCGTAATAACGGAGAGGTTGAAACTGAAGCTGAGGGTGAATCTGATTCAATGCCGTCTTTGGAGAGTGATGTAGATGAGCAAGAGGCTGAGTCAGGTAAACTGATGGTGACTCGAAGAGTGGTCAATGATTAAAACTTGTCGGCCTTGGAGTCAGCAATCCACGGCTGAGTTCGCTCCTGTAGTCTTGGGGCGGAGGTCCCGCTTTGTTTGCCGAAGCCATTATCTGAGAATATTTTTTTTTTTGGTTCGGCGAAACAACCATCTTGTGAGAATGGATGATGTTACAACTAATGAGAAGCACTAAAAGCGTATGAAAGAGGGCGAAAAAGCCGGTTTTACCTTATGAGGCAGTCTTCCCCAAACATCTCCACCGTAGTACATGATCGGTCTCTCTGAAAGAAAAAACGCAATTTCATAACAGAAAAAGAAACCAACGATCAGTTCAAAATCCCAATGTCTGGATCTCAGAACATCGTGTTCCTGAGTTCTCGGACCAGGAAGAAACGAGAGAAATACAAGTTCGACGTGTGAATCTTGGATTATGATAATTTCTTGGAACAGAACAATTTGATAATATTTCCACAGCAACCTAAGCGAAAGAAGACCAAAAGATTGCAGGAGGTGTAATGTGTAAGGACATACATATCGAACGGCACAAAACATGGATGAGCTTGGACTCACCAGATAAATCCACAGTAGGATCGTTGTAGAGATGCATTGCAGCTGCCCAGCCTGCAATCATAAAACACAAGGAACACATGAAAATGACAAGTGCTTCGAATGCGTAGATAAACACGAAATTCAGAACCTAATAATGCCGATAATGTTGAGCAATTTGGTAAGGGTGTAATACTAGCAACAGGTTCAAAGATTATTCAAGACGCACGGTCTAGTTCATGAAAGGGATGATGAGATGGTAAAATATGTTAAAAAACTTCTGCAAAATTAACAAGCCGAGTCGGGTCGGGTCAGATACATACGCTCACTCAGGAGCTGATAAGCTTCACTCCTGTAACACCCCTCTAGAGGTATAATCCTCGTAGCAGAGTTCGACACCACAGGGACGTTCTTCGAGGCCGGGACTTGGCTCTTCTCACTCTCATTCCCTTGGGAGCTGCTTGTTCGGTCCAATTCTGCAACATTTTTTACCTAAAATTAACCCAGAAAACAAACCTAGAAACTCCACCATCTTTGACATTATCACTACATACTTGAAGAGGATCTTGTTTTCCATGAAATCAAACCAAATTGGACCGAGAACCCAACATTAAGAAACGAATAATAATCACCGGTTTCCGCTTGGAGAAGGTATAAATCATAACTTTTCGGCTGACAGTATCGTTTTCTTCCTAAAAAGTTCATGAGCTCATCATCACCTACCGTATTATCATCAGCTTATAGATTTTCCATGATAGCGACGCTACTAGAGTTTCTACACTAATACATACACCCCTAATCACACTTCTTGGACTTGTTCCTCCATATTCGCTAATCTAAGCTTGATACCAGAGAATTAGATACTATCGCAGCCAAGAATTCATCCCCATTCCTCCAAGAGAAGCAAGTAAATCCGTAAGAAACAAACAAAATTCAAATCGAGAGAGAACCCACGAACCTCCCGGTTTCCGGCGATTCAAAGAACGGTTCCTGCGATCCAAAGATAAGCAGCAAAAAAATGAGCACCAAATCGCCGAGTCAACACAGAGAAGAATACTCAAAAGCCAACAAAGAAGAGAGAAAGAGGAAGAGAGAAGTTACCTCTGGTTAGGGGGAGTATACCGTTTCGATGCCGAGCTCGAATCCGCCATTGACGAGCTATGGTTCTCCGTCTCTCCCGAGAACGATCTCTCCCCGTGGAGATCTGTCAACTCTTCGCTCTACACAAGAGCACTTAGAAAAATGGGTCGTCGCGAGTCTTTATTCTCACGCGCGGCTCTTTTGGCGCGTGTCCGCCAAGTGCTCGCGCTCTCTCGCTTCATTACACCCTTCCGTAATCTTCGTTACTTGCCTTAAATTTTGATGAAATTGAGATTTCATCCTCCTATTTTTTATTTGTTCTTTTCAGCCCATATCCAAATCCAACCGATTAAACCACCAAGAAAACGGAAACCGCATTCCTTCACTTACAAATCAAGAAAACCCTTAAAATTGATCCGTTGATATCCAGGAAAAATGAACATTTTACCTACAAAAAACTACTTCCAGGAAAAGGAGGTTACATACAAAATCTTTTACATCTACCTTCCAATCCGTAGATGTTAAGCAATGTATGTTACATGTTGCAAGTTCTCAACTTTTGATATTGTGAACTTTCAATCTTTACACCAGGCCTCATTAAATCCTTCTGAAGATTCACATCACTTGTATAACAATCTCAATGTTGATTTTGGGTGAGTTATTGAGCCACTAGGATCAAGCTGTGATCCAAACCCGAGGTAGCTTGAAGAACACGGCCCTCGAAACCCTCAAGCAACATCGGCTCAGCCTCATCAATCGAGCTTCCAAGCCCGAGTCTTCCGTTCTTACCGCAACCCCAAACCCACAAGTCGCCTTTGTCTGTTAGAGCCAGGGAGTGGACACGCCCTGCAGATACTGTCGTAGGAGTTTCCCCTTCCAGACCCTCTACTTCTCTCGGCAGGCTTTCGGATCCTCCCCTCCCGAGCTGATGACTCCGGTTCCAACCCCATGAGATGATCTTTGCTCCATCTGTGTTGGTCGAATTGGATGACTTGATGCTGCAGATAGATAAAGAATGACCAAGACCAGCAGCTATGGAAATCGGGTGTTCAGCTATGTCAACAGGGAACATTCCTAGGTCTTGTTTGGACCGACCCAGCTGACCGTAGATGTTGCTACCGGAGCTCAAAAGGGTGCCATCACCTAAAATCAGAAAAGCTAATGTGTATAAACTATCTTCACAACGTATTTGGACTCTGAGTTAGAAGATTAGGCCGGTATTCTTAACTTACCACAAAGGACCAATGAGTGATCAAACCCGCATGCAATATCTGCTACTTTCACGTTACTCAATTCTTCAACTAGACGAGGTTCCCAAGCTATCGGCATGCTGCTCTCCTTCGTCATCGCTTGCAGGACTTGCTTTTCGGCCGCTTCAAGATTCAAATCTGAAATTTGTTGATCTGTTCCAGCCACGTTTAAGTGTGAATCCAGCATAGATGCCTCAAGTGGCACTCCGACATTGCCTATCCTACAATCAGCTGCATAACCCCAGCCGAAAAGTTTCCCATCCATGGTAAGTGCAAGTGCATGACCCCAACCAAAGGATACCTATCAAAAGAGAATTAGCCTTTCAGTGTACCTTCCTGTAAAGAGTTCAACACGTATTAGATCGATTACACAAGAAGGATCATCAAAATTAGTTTCCCGACCTTAGCTATGTGTTCTTCAGCTAAGGCTTCAACTCTCGAAGGAATTAGAGCTTCCACGATTCCTTTTCCAAGACCAAGCTGTCCTCTCTTGGATCTTCCCCAAACCCACAAAGAGCCATTATCTCCAATGGCCGCTGAAACAACTCCAGATGCAAAGGCTGCCCTAACATTCACATTATCTAAGCCTTCTACTCTCTTGGGTTCACTCCTCGCATCTCTGTTAATTATTGAAACATCTTCATCATCATTACACAGCTTTGCATCAAAACTCCAGACATGCTGACATAACAATCCCACCAAGTGCCATTGTTATGACCCTCAAAAGCATCATTCCTGAACTCGCTATGTAAAGCGAGTGAAGTACATGCCTTTCTGATAATCATTTTCGAGGAAGCACAAATATTTGATCAGAGACATAGCCAATCTACAAACTATGAATATGATCCGGTAACGCTATACATCAACAGATTAATCTCTCATCGCCAATCGCTTCCTCACAAGACTCGTACTTGAAGATAATAACAGTAACAGCAAGCACACACGCACAAAAAGTATATCAGAACAACAGCTGAAGAAGCCAATGTAAGAGTCATTTAGGATGTTTCTGCTCCGAAATTACCTAGCGGCAAACGTGCTTCGACCGAGCTGACCCTCATCGTTGCGACCCCAAGCCCAAATCTCACCGCCGCAAGTGACTGCGAGGGAGTGGTAGTGCCCGGCGGCTACGTTGGAGACATCGGAAGGAAGGTTACAGACGATGATGGGCTCGTAGGCATCGGTTCCGAACCCCGTAATCTCCGGCAAATGGCCCAGAGCGCCATGACTGCCGTCGCCGAAGCTCATCACAGTTCTTCCACCGGGATTGGTCGTGAACCTTCTTCTTCTGCTAACGCCATTGAAGAGAATCTCTTTCCAGAATTTCAAATCGGAAGAAGAAATTTTCCGGACTCTCACCTTCGTGATCGACGGTAATCGCAGCATTTCTCGCTGGAGAATCTGAATGGATGGAGAGGTTCCACTTTGAATGTCAATGAAACCATCGGACAGAAACAGAGGGTTCGCTCATAAATCCTTCCGTACAAAGCCTCTCTCCCGCTTAGAGGTTTTTCTATGAATAGAAAGTTGGGAAGATACCCAACCGTTTTCAATTTCGGTTTGTTCTTTCAACCCAAACTAACCGAACCAAAAAAAACTGAAACCACTTTCAATAGACGCAAAAACTTCAAATAGACCTGAATTGAACATACATCGAACCGAACCGTAGTTAAATACATTTCAAACCGGTTCAAATTCTTCAAAACTAATATAACGTTTACAATTTTCTTATTCCAATTGTAGATGGACAAAGTTGGTTCTTTTATTTCAGTTTCGATTAGAATTTAGTTCCAAATTTGATAAATGATTAACTTAACCAAATCGAATTCTTAGTTTGGAATTGTAGAATTTGGACCAAATGGAATATGATTCGGTTTGGAAAAAATATCTTTCTCTCCGATTCGTTCAGAAGCTTTAGCTCTAACCAATCAGATTCCACCTAAAGATTTTTACTGTTATTTATGAACGTGACAAAAATGCAAAATGGAACAATTCCTTGGCGGGTAATATGCCACGTGGAAGGAGAATCTGACGTGGCAGATAATCAGGAACATAAACAAGACCTCTTATCCAGCCAATGATGCCACGTGGACATATCCTGTTGGTGAATCAGATCCTGACCTAATCTGAGCAAAAACCACGTGGCTATTTCAAGCCCACAAGTAAATTCATTGGCCCTTGTCACTTCGTTCCTCCACTCCCTTTGGATATTATTGTCATCTCTCACTGAAACCACAACAAGGAGCAAGGAAACTGCAACAATGGCGACACAAGCACTTGTGTCTTCTTCACTCAGCTCTTCTGTAGAGACAGCGAGACAGATTCTTGGCGCCAGACCCACTTCATTTTTGGTGCCAAAGAAGGGCTCTTTTGTCGTTAGGGCTGCTTCAACTCCTCCTGTCAAGGTATATCTCCACATATGTATGTATATATATGCATGTGTGTGCGTGTGTGTGAATCTGATCATGATTTGTGCATTGGATCTCAGCAAGGAGCAGACAGACAATTGTGGTTTGCATCAAAGCAGAGTCTCTCCTACTTGGATGGCAGGTAAACCTTGTTCTGATTACAACAGATAAGGTTATCGCGAATTCAAACAAATGCTAAGATTTGTCGGATACGATTGATGAAGTGATCATAGATTGATCTTGTGTACCTGTTATACACAAAAGATTCATCCTTTTGAAGACATGATCTACGATTTTACCTAGTTATGCTCTCTTAGATGTTCTAGTTACGTCAACTCTGGGGATTCTGCAGCTTACCCGGTGACTTTGGCTTCGACCCACTTGGTCTTTCGGACCCAGAAGGCACCGGAGGGTTCATCGAGCCGAGATGGTTAGCCTATGGAGAGATAATCAATGGACGGTTCGCTATGTTGGGAGCAGCAGGAGCCATAGCCCCCGAGATTCTGGGAAAAGCCGGTCTGATTCCCCAAGAAACAGCTCTTCCATGGTTCAAAACCGGTGTGATCCCTCCTGCAGGAACATACAACTACTGGGCCGATCCTTACACGCTCTTTGTCCTCGAGATGGCTCTTATGGGATTCGCAGAGCACAGGAGGTTCCAGGACTGGGCCAAGCCGGGATCCATGGGGAAACAATACTTCTTAGGGTTGGAAAAGGGTCTGGGCGGGTCGGGTGACCCGGCTTACCCTGGAGGACCCTTCTTTAACCCTCTAGGGTTTGGAAAAGACGAGAAGTCGATGAAGGAATTGAAACTCAAGGAGGTCAAGAACGGTAGATTGGCTATGTTGGCCATCTTGGGTTACTTCGTGCAGGGGCTAGTGACCGGTGTTGGACCATACCAGAACCTTCTTGATCACTTGGCAGATCCCGTCAATAACAACATCTTGACTAGCCTCAAGTTCCACTGAGATTATGTGATCCGTGTTGTCGTCGGGAAAAAAAAATTCCCAACGTGTCCCTCTCCCTCTTGTATCCTGCAGTGTCCTGTTCTTGGTACCATCGGCTTCTCCACATATGTAACATGCCTGTGTAAACAAACATATTCATGTTCTGTAAGAAATATGACAATGTTAAAGGCTTAGAAAAACAGCTTTTAGGGTTAACTGTTTGTCTTAGCTGCTTCAGAGATTCATTCATAAAGCATAAATCTTAATAAAACACAAGGAGGAAACACCATACAAGGTTAAAAAGCTAATCTTGAGATGGTGATTTAGCTGATACCTGTATAATACAGAAGTAGGACGATTAAGAGGATCCTCGTACAGAAATCAAACACGGTCTCCCGCGAAACACTCAGTTGATAAATCAAGAACATGAAACACAATCTCTAGGGTAAACATTACAGTACAGGCCCTTCATATGATGATAGTGGTCGAAGAACAAGGAAACACAAATGTTTCATAACTTCTGGTCTGAAGCAAAAACCCGAAGTAAGCAATGGAAGTAGTAGATCTTCTTATTAGCCAGATGGTGTGGAGAATACAAACTCATGCTTTTATAGCAACAGAAAATGGGGAAGGGCAAACATTCAGCAATCTCTGACATAGCATCGAAATCTCATTGTGAGCAATCTTTATCGAAGGACAAAAGCATTAGCAAAATCTAAAGAATTTAGAGCCTACTAAATCGGGGGGAAAGGTGGAGAATCTCATTACGGCTTAAAGCATATTCAGATCTTTACGCAGATTGAGCTACTGGTTCATCCGATTCTTCCTGCCTGCAAAAAATAAGTGATTCTTCCAGTCATTGCATTTACAGAAGTAGCAACTGAATGATGTTTTAACCGAATTTACAAAGTTAAAAAAATATGTATATGCAAGAGGTATAGTCATTATTATATTTACCTCTGAATTCCTTCCCCAACCTCGACTCTTAGAAAATTCCCGACCTTCACAGGGGAACCCACCTCCTTGGACAAATTATCAAGAAGAGTCTGGAACAGAACATAAACTTAGAAATGAAGGCCTAGCAGCATTTCAAGAGATTCAGCTATGACAAGCAACAATCAATGACAGACAAGGTAGTGAATAACTGATTCTTTGTGTTATAATGTATATATGCACACACCTTTACGTTCAAAGTATCATTCACAATAAACTTTTGCTCCATAAGAACAACTTCTTCAAAGTATTTACGCATGCGCCCTTCCACCATCTTCTCTACAGCCATCTGAGACTTGGCTGTACTTTCAGCCTATCACACCACATTTGACAAGAGATTATGTTATGTCACAAACAAAATTTAAACTCGAGACTTTTCCAGACCTCGGAAAATCAACCCATAAATCATCAACCAATCAAGAGACAAATACCTGAGACTTGAGAACCTCACGTTCATTTGCCAGTGCTTCTGATGAAACGTGGTCCTTAGTTAGAAACAGGGGTTTTGCTGCTACAACATGCATAGCCAGTTCTGAGCCTACACGCTGGACAGCATCTATTTGAGCATTCTCATCCCCAACTTCTAAAGCAACGATGCCCGCTATACGACCCAGCCCTGTTTTAAAATTAAACGGTTAGAAGACTGTGGAAAAGTATAGAAGGTTATAGAGAATGGGCATTGAAATATTTGTACCGGGTTGGGGGCTTGTATGAAGATAAGTAGAGAGAACACCAGGTGAAGTTTTTGACAACAAGAAACCTCTCCTAAATTTTACATTTTCCCCCATTATTGCAGCTACCTCAGTGACTGCATTTGAAACGGTTGTTTCACCGTTCACTTTAGGATGATCAAGATTCAGCTTGAAAGTCTGAATAGCATTGGTTAAAGATAATTATATATAAACTGAATGTCGACATCCTTGAATAGTGTTCAGAGCTTCAGAAAAATTGCAAGAGAAGGACGACTTCTTTTGTCAGAAACGTAGCATCAGGGTTAGGAAATGAAAAATGGAAAAAGAAACCTTAAAGCACATCAAACAACCAACCTCAAAAAGCTCGGGTCCAAAAGGAAAGACACCAGCGACTTGCTGAGAACCATTTTCAACCAGCAAAGCGTGCTTTGCCAGAGCTAAAGCCTGAAAAGCATGCCCATGTTAATGGAAATTCGATAATTCAAACGATACCATACAGGACGACCATGAATCCAAACTAGTGTCTACAGACACAATAGAGTGACATAAGTAATATGAAATGGATCAACTAACCAAGTACTGGAAAATCTCGTTTCTAGCAACAAAGTCTGTCTCACAATTGAGTTCGATAACCGCAGCTTTCTCCCCGTCTTGAGCAAGCGCAAGCAATCCCTCAGCAGCGGTTCTCGATGACTTTTTCGAAGCCAATACTTTCCCTCTCTTCCTCAAATCCTTCTGAGCAGCCTCTGCAATGGCCACGACAACAACACACAGTCCAGACAATGCACAAGACTAAGAAAACAAACGCATCAGAAACGCAACTGATTCTTACCAATGTCCCAATTGCACTCCACAAGAGAAGCCTTGACATCCTTGATCGGAGCACTTGTTCTTTCCCTCAGTTGCTTGATGAGGTTCATTTGCTCCGATGCAGCAGGAGCCGCTGAACTAAATCTCTGTGAAAATCTCCCGAAACCCCGAAAAGGGTCCGCATATCCGGACAAACCCGAGCTCTTGTACTGAGACAAAGCTTCCACTTTGGTTGCCACAGTAGAATACTCATTTCCAGAACCAAATCTACCAGTAGCACTGTAAACGAAAATCCCAACAGGCCGTCTTATAGCTTTAGCGAACGCCATTTCCGAAATACCCTCGATTTATGTTCACCTATAAACAGAAATCAAAACGATTAAAAAAAGCCCAAACGAAAAACAAATTGAATCAGAAAAGCAAAATCTGCTGCATCCAAGGGTTTAAGAAAGGGTTTTTTTCGTAGAACACGAATCTCAAGAAAAATCATCCAGAATCAAAGAAAAAAACATATGCGAACGAACTAAGGAGACTTACCACACAAAAAAAGGACCAACGACAGGATCTCAGAATCGACGAACTGAAAAACCAGAAGACAGAACAGAGCAATAGAAAGCCTAAAACCCCAGTTTTGTTTGTCCGCAATACCTCACAATACGTCGCCGTTTCAATTGTCAACCATATAAGGCTTATTCGCCATGGTTTTAGTGCCCAGTTGACGCCGTTATAAGCCCAATATGAGAAGCCCAACTATAGCCCGTGTAGATTGTAAAGGCAAGATAACGGCTCAAAGAAACGGCAGTTAAATTGTTTATAAAACGCGGGCAGGAGTGTACGTTATCTTGGTGTGATGCGCTGCAGGGGATAAATCCTGCGATTCCTGATCTTGCTTCCGCTTATTCTCTTCTCATTTTCGGGGAAGAAGAAGGAGAAGGAGACTGTTCGAGGCAGTAGAAGAGCAGGTGCGAATCTTCTCTTCTGTTTCAGGGCTTCTTCATGCTTGATTTGTCGGGATTTGCTAGAACAGAGGACCCGAGAATTGTACCAAGTCAATATGATTCTGGTACCTTATTAAAATTGTAATGGGCATATATGCATGTTTATAAAAACTGTCGATTGGGATATGTAATGGAAATGGATTACGGAAAGCATGATGCATGCGTGCATCATAAACACGTGAAGATTATTCGATGGGTTCTAGCCGGACTTAATCCGACTTCAAATGTAATGTTTGATATATATTTTTTTTGGTGATATGGAAGTTCACCGGATCTTCGGTTCAATTACATATTCGAGAGGATCGGGATAGTCCATGTGAATTTTCTTTCCCAAACTAAGGAATCGAACAGCCAACGTGAAGACGTATTGGCCAACACGCCAGCCACTCGCTCACCCTAACTTGGGTTAATGTTTGATAATTTGGATCGTCATATGGATTTTTTATACGGAGTTTTATGGTTTTCATGCGTGATATTTGAGATAGATTCGGAGATGGTGTGTCCCTTCCTTACTCTATGATATATATATATATATATAGATAAAGTTATCGGTGATAATGTCGATAATTTGTACGATTTTCTTAAACATTTTGAGTCTTTTTTTATTTGGTTTGATTCGATAAAATTTTTTACTTATCTATTATATTATAATTTGGAAAAAAAATAAAAAACTAAAATTTTAAAATTAAAATTTCAATTATTACAGACCTAAATAAAATTTATACAATGTTCAAAATATTTCAATTTTATTAATTTATCTATTTTAATTCCATTTAAAATATATTTATGATATTATTCTATCATTACCAAAATATGTTTAAAACTATAATTTTAATTTATTAATTGATAAAATTTATTTTTTTTATGTATTGATGGAAAGATTTTAATAACAATTAAAATATTTTGGCATGGTTTGTTTTGTTTTCTCGGAAGGAAAAAGAAATGGCCCTCACCTGCCCAGTCACTCATGTCTTCAGGCCCATGGTTGTCTTTCGAAGCTGGATCATGGTTAATCTGTTCAAGATTGGCCCACAATTCGTATCGGATCCTGACCCATAAATACGGATCCGGTTTATGACGACCCGCTTCATCGGATTTCATTTCATTTCAACGAGACGAGGGTTTTGGGGGGCGAGGGTTTCAGCAGCTTCACCACTTACTTTCTCCGCTGTTCTCGTCTCCGTTCGAAGATGAAGCTCGTCAGGTAATCGTTCCGATTCTCTTTTTTTTCCCCTTGGATTTCAACTAAGTTCAGTATGCAATCCCTCTTCTGCTTTAGAAATCTCCGGTCTGAATCGAATTTTTCTTTTCCTTTATTGTGTGTTATGATTTTTGCACTTTGGATGGATTAGGTTTTTGATGAAGTTGAACAATGAGACCGTGTCGATCGAGCTGAAGAACGGAACTGTTGTCCACGGCACAATCACTGGTAGGCAGTCTCTTCCCTTCGTTGTTTTATTCGTAGTCATGACCTTTCTTCTCTGCTACATTAGTTGATTCCTGGATCTAGTACTGAAATCACAAAGCTCCATTTCAAATATTGCCGCGAAAATCTCGATTTCATTGGCTTGTAGACTATCAAGATCATGAGCATTTGATTGAGATTATGTGTGTACTTCGGTTGCTACTGTTCCGTGGTTGTTGATGGAACTCTATCTATCCATTGGCCTTTTAGGCTTAAATTTAGTTTGGCGAAGATATAATGAAGTTATTAGTTTGTCAATATTTCACAATAGTTCTCCCCGAGGTGCAATCTAATTCACTGATTTCATCTTATTTCATGTGACTTCATCTTATTAATAAAAAAAGTATGTTTCTAATGTTAGTCTTGCTGTTTTTTTAGGTGTGGATGTGAGCATGAACACTCACCTGAAGACCGTTAAACTGACTTTGAAGGGGAAAAACCCGGTTACACTTGATCATCTAAGCGTTAGGGGTAACAATATCCGCTACTATATTCTTCCCGATAGCTTGAATCTGGAAACTTTACTCGTGGAGGACACTCCCAGGATCAAGCCCAAGAAAGCTGCCGCTGGTAAGTCTTACTCTGTTTCGCTCAAGTGAATGGATAACTCTATGCATCAGCTTTCTTATTGATTTGGTTTCCACATTTCATTTTCTTTGTATTTCCAGGGAAACCTGTTGGACGTGGTCGTGGACGTGGACGTGGGCGTGGGCGTGGCAGAGGCCGTTAGATGTATTCTCTGTGCATGTGCCCTTGGTGGGCATTGTTGGCTACTGTCCAGGATAAAAATGATGAGGTCAGTGACTTAAATTTGTAGGAAGGGGAACTTGTGCTTCGATTTGTAGGATATGTAACCGAGTTATGCTTCTAGGAACTCTTGGAAGGAGGAAATTTGTTTTAACCAAATGGTAGTAATATGCAACATGTTTCTTCAATGCAGTTGCAATCCCACAAACATACATATTTAATTTGAGCTAAGAGCTTTATTCATGTGATGAATATAGCTGAATGTATAATATTCTCTGATGTAACCCGTTTCACATGATCGTGCACGGGGGCTCGTGATTGTAAACGGGCTCCCCGGCAAGTAACTGGTTAGGGTAGCACTGGTAGGGATAGGGATAGCAAGGCAAACCACCATATCCATGAGGGCATGGACAAAAAGGCTCGGGCTTTTTTTCCCTTGCCTGTTTGTCACCACCGTCCTGTTTCCCGTCAGGCTTTTCCCCGCAGCCATTCTTGTCATCGGGTTTCTTCGGGGGTTCGACTTTGCTCACGCTTACGAGCTCGGCATATGCTACCACCTTCCTTAGCTCTCTCGTCAGTGTGATCATATCCACTCCTTCCCCTGTTATCTCTATCTCGTTCCTGTAATCCCCCTTTATTTCCACCGATGTTACGCCTACATAGTCTTTTCATAAGCATAATAATGATCCCCGCATCAGTTTTTACAGATTCGGGACGCATATTCTCTTGGGAGGAGGCCCCCAATCAGATATGTTTTACCTGAGAACTGAACCGCTTAGCGGGGGCGGGATCGAGTTTCTAAACATTTCAGGTGCAAGTTGCTACATTCGCAGGGACGGATTGACGGAATTAGGTTCCGGGCTTGCCTCCAAACTAAGAATCCTGAACCTAAGGATGTGCAGAACAGTCGGTGATCAATCCATCGAAGCTATAGCAAAAGGTTGCCCATTGCTCCACGAGTGGAACTTGGCACTGTGCCACGAGGTTAGGGTTTTGGGATGGGAAGCCATTGGCTATAACTGCCATAACTTGCAGAAACTCCACGTTAACCGGTGTAGGAACCTATGTGACCGAGGCTTGCAGGGTCTGAGGGACGGTTGTAAGAATCTTCAATCTTTTGCTGCATACAAAGCAAAACGGTTGACTGAACTAATTAATGGTATTGACATTGGGTTATGTTAACCCATCGGTACTGAAAGCGGTATGACCAACAGGGTTCTGCACGGTTTGGTTATTAACCGAATAAAATCGCTTAATCGACTGGTTATCATCTGGTCGGTTCGGTTATTTCTGATTGGTTATTTATTGAAGCCTAACTCTATATACTAGGACTCCAACTTCATGAAATGCACATATTTTTTGGTCAGCGCCGAATCGAATTTAAATTTGGTTATTGTTTGGGTTATAGTTTTTAATAGACAGACCGAATTAAACCGATTCAAATTAAGTATATACCTTCATTATCTTGTTTCCTTGAGAGGAACGCCTCTGTCGTCCAAGATTCGGTTGAATCAAGAACAGAAATATGATCTGTGAGAACTCCTTTGTGTTTTTCTTTTGGGGGTGCTGTCTTGTGTAGAACACGGTCTTGCAAAGTAGTTTGCGTCCATATATTCATGCTCCCAAGGAATTGGAACAGTTTAAATTTCGTTTTCAATTATTTTCCTAGTATTTATTTGCGTTTAGTTTTAGTGCCACTTGCATATATTGTTTATTTCATACCAAAAATTAAATTGTTACAAGTAGTATTTTTATAATTATTGTTTGATCCGATGGGGGGACGTCATTAACGGATTTAATCATATGATTAGTCGCTTTAATTATTTAATATGTCGCATGAGCAAGAATCTTAGACATTTACGATGTTTTTTCGTTGTTATATAATTATTTATGAATTTCATAGGAAAGTCTACGAGTGACTTCTTCCCCTTAATCATAGATTCTTGACGCTGCGGTTTAAATAAATAGGATACTATAAAAGATTGACTTAATTTATGGTCAAAGTACTTGAATAATTTGGTTTATTGAATATATTCACAACACGGTTTTGTTTAGGGCTGGGCGTTTCGGTTCGGTTCTTCGGAACCAGATCGAACCGAACCGTTAAAACGGTATTTTTTTCGATCCGAAACCGTTGTTATTTTCCGAACGGTACCATTTGTAGAAAACCGAATTTTCTGGAATCGAACCGAACCGAACCGAACTTTAAAAATACCGAAAAACCGAATATTTTTAAAAGAAATATACAATTTTTAAAAAAAAATCCAGAACCGAACCGAGACCCGACTGGCCCGACCCGACCGGCCCGTAGCCCATTTGACCCGAGGTCCGAAAGCCCGAAGTTTAATGAGCCTATATTTTTTAGGCCCGTGTCCTTATAATTTTCGGGTGGGCTCGGGCCGGGTTTCGGGCTCCAGGCTTAATTGACATCCCTAAGAAGAGGTTTTATGTCAAACTATTATGTTTGGTTGGCTCATGGAGAAACGTATGATACGTCGTCATCATCACGTGTTTCACAAATACAAGAACCAATACTGTGACACCACCATTGAATTTGGTGGCAACCCCTGGGGTAAAAAAGGGAGAAAGACGTCCATCGCTGTCAGAGGTAGGGCGGTAGAACTGAGCGTAGTAACTTGCTGGATCAAATGGTGGTTGGAACTACAACCAAGAAAATGACAGTAATTAGGTCGGAAGACAAGATGGAGAGAAAATGCAAGTGCTAACCTACACGTTGGCACACTATGCAATTATTAAACCGGATCTAACCGGGTTCTTTTTTTTTCCAACAACTCAGGTCTCTTTTAAAGGTGTCAATCAAGTCGGTCCGCTCTACTCCCACATAAACCCGCATTCGGTCTAAGAGTTTTGGGTTAAGATTCGGACGATCCGATTTTTTTTGTCTATATAACCAAATCTAAAACTCGATTATGTAGATTTCGTATTCGAATCAGATCCGACTATATGATTCAATTTATTTATAAAATTATTTTTTATTAATATTTTTTTGAAAAAATATTAGACTTTTGTACCGGTTCGAAATAGACTCGATTTAAACTCGATGTGAAAAAAAAAAATTGGACCGAAAAAACTTAAACCCAAAATCCAATATTTTTCGAATGAATTCGGGTCAATTTCGAACCTCGAACGTAAATTGAGAAGTTTTTTTGACCCTACCACTTCGAAACCTGAATTGGTAAAATAATTAATTACAAAGCCTTACACTTTTTTCACCAGGAAAAGACCAATCAAGGTCCGGTCTCATAATGGTTAGTGTGTGTATATATATATTGTAAATTTTTATAATCAATTCACTGTCTCAATCGAAAGCCCCAAAGCTAAACCCTAAACCAATCCGATTCCGGAATGAAAGTAGCGGAGAAGATTGTTTTCCTCTGGAACGATCCCCATGGCTTTGCCACTGCCATTATTGGTGCTTTAAACCCTAACCTTAATTCCTCTCTTCGCATACTGTAAGTCGTTCTTTCTCCCTCGATTTCACAACTTCTCTTCGGACTCCATTCTCTCTTTTTTTTTTTCCTTTGTTTCGATTCCGTGACATTGAATTTCTGCAGAGAAGAACCCTTCGAGCTTCCGTTGGATAAGTATGGTATTGGAGATGTCAGCGCCAGCGGAAAGATCATTCATTTCGTCGATGAAAATGGTGTTTTCCAGGTTTTTTCTTGGATTCTGTTCGATTCGGTAGAAATTAAGTGGAGAAAAGTAATTGCTATTTATGCTGTGAGATTATGGAAACAGGAGAAATTGTGCTGCGAAGAACATTTGGTGGCTAGCCCTAAGCTTGTAGACGGAACCTATTGTTTGATTTGAAGACAGATGTGAATTCAATGATCTAGGCTAGTCGAAAGGGTCATTGTGCATTGAAGTATGGTCACTTCAGCTGTGTAGAAGATAGTTCCCCCAGATTAGACACCTATGTTTATCTATCAATCGAGATGATGGATGCTTTTGTGTTCTTTTTCCTGTTTCTTGCTTCGTTGAGCCTGAAACCTCTGCCTGAACTACGTATTACATTGCTTTTTCGTTTGGCTTAGCCAAGACCGAGGCTTGTAAGAAAGAAAGTTCAGACTTTGGGGCACTTGATAAGGATAGACAGGTTGGAATAGGATGTCGACTTCCTTTGAGTGAAAGGAACAATGCTCATTTTAAGTCCTTGTCAGCCAAAGTGAAATCTGATTATGATATGAGAGTTGCTTATCTTGAATGTGATTAAGATGAATGGTATAACGTGATGCTTTTGGGTTATCAGAATTCTGACCTATTATATGATTGTTCACGTTCACGAGCATCATGATGGTGCAGACAGACCCAATGTTTGGCCCTTGTATTCATACTGAACGTGCTTTTAAGGAAAACTATAAGTGACATGATCTTATACTTTTGATTTTTATTCTCCTTCAAGGTGTCGGTGTTGCTTCTCCAAAGCTATGAGCCTCCCACGACAGCGTGTGCAATCAATGAGCTACTGGACCAAATTACAAGGGGATTGTCGACTCTGCCGACAGTGGTGGCTCCTTTTCTAGTGGCGGCTTCGAAGCTTAAGTTTCAGAACAGATCTCTTGCATCACGTAGCGAAAATGCTAATCTTTGTTATGTGCAACTTGGTCCAGAAACTGGGATTAGTAAATTATGTGCTTCTCGCATACAGAGACCACCACCATTACTGCAGATCCATTATGAACCATTGTCATGCTTTCTTCAACTGGCCCGTGTCTTAAGAATGCCTACCACTGTTCTTATCGGGCAAAGAAGTACCGCCATATCCAACAAAGCTCTAGAGGAAGAGCTTCAGGTAGTTTTTCCTTCAAGCCCAACTCATCTGCTCTCCATTTTCAATTGGGTGATTAAAACCACTTGTGGCAGCAGTTATCCACAGATCTCTTCTGTGACATGGACCGACCAGGACATGTCGTACCAAAGTCATGTGAAGTCATTTCCACGGTTAATTCTGTAAAAAAAAATACATCATTGTTACTGAATGATGATTACTTCATATGGTTGCCATTGTAGGTAATCCATGAAATAGGAGAGCTTGTGGCAAGTTCCACAGGTTTGTGTTTCTCGAGAGATGGAATCAAGTGGAACGTGCCGAAGACGTCGAAAGAAGGAGGAGAAGAGAAGCCTTGGCTTTCCCTATATGGATAATCCCCAGGTCAGATCTTTTCATTCACATCTCTCCCCACTTCTTGATGCTTCATTGTCTCTCTTACACATTTTTGTGGCCCTTTTACTGAAACAGCCTTTGTCAAGACTTTTTTTTATACGCTGCAGAATCAAAAACATTTTCATTTTGGGGAAATGGGTTTTTTTTTATAATACGTGATTTGCCAAGGGTGGGATTCGAACCGGGGTGAAACACTCTTTGCGCATACCCACCTACCAGTTGAGTCAACCATTTTTGGCGGAATTGGGTTATTTTAGTTAAGGAAACAGCTTCATAGTCTCATCTCGTTCACCAGAAACTGAGGAAACTCCTTAGCAGCCTAAAAGTAAAACCCCCACATTCTTCTGTTGTGTTTTCCCTTGTGAGAATATTGGCTAATGGAAATGACAAGTGATGGTTGGTCAGAGAGGTACGAAGTTATAAACAAACACGAGATGGAACATCAACAACAAAAAATTACTCCATCAGTTTCTAAATAGATTTTTTTTTCAAGTTTTAAGAAAATATATTAAAAAAAGTCATATATACCACCATTAAATCAAGATCTCATTAATATTTTATTAAAGTTTATATTTTTAATTAAGGGTGAAATTAGAATATTTTTTTAAAATTACATAGAAAACTTAAAACGATGTCTATTGAATAACATATAATATTCGACAATTATTAAGAAACTTTGGGAGTAGTGTTTATGTTTATACGCGTACTGTATTCAAAACCGACAATCAAATTTTTTAAATTTTGATTTTCCTAAAAACCCGAAAATCTATTTTATGAAAAAAATCAACTAAAAACCAAAAGCCACAATTTTTTAAATTTACAAACTTATGAAATTCAAAAGTCAAAAATAAAAAACTAAAGAGCAACAATCAAAAACTAAAAAAAAAAAACCAAAATAAAAACCAATGTCATTCAAGCCCATATCTCCTAGAGACCACGGTGATAGTCATGAACCTTTTTATTTCCGATCAAAACATATGTTTTTTTTTCTCCCAAACTTCTACATTTTGGTCGAATAGATTTCTAGAATTTCAGTGTCTTGTTTTTTTTTTAAATATTTTTTCCGTTTATTTTTTAGTTTAGTTTTGATAAATTTGATTTAATTAAAATAAGTATGTGTGGATCGGCTATTGGGGTTTTTTAGTGTATTCCATTTCGGTTTCGCTTTCTCTGATTTTTTTCGGATTTGATCAATTTGATTTCTCAGATTTTGGGCAGAATAGATTTCTAGAATTTATTTTATTATATATATATTAAAGTAATGTTTTGTTCTAATCAATATCGGAAAACAAAAAGGTTTAATCAAGATTTTAACCACGGCATGCTATTTCATAATTTTGTTAAGAAAATATGTTAAATAAAAAAAAAACTAACCATGTGAGCTATCATAACTCGTAACCGAACTGTGTCTTTCTTTTACGCTGATTAGATTTATCTAGCTTCGGCTCTCATATATGTATATAAGCTTATGTTCTAACGATTTTTCAAATTATTCTAAATAAACATTTAAAACAGACAAATGACTATGTTACAATAATTTTTTTTTAAAAAAAATTGTAAGAAAATTTGGGAAATAAAAAGTTATACTTTGATTTGTTTTGAAAAAGTAAAAATAAATATATCAGAATTTTGTTGACCTTATGTAATGTTATGGTTTTATTGATCAAATTCGGATTCTAATATATACATTTTTTAAAATGTATAGATGTCGACGTGTCAAGTAGGTGTTTAAAACGTTAGGTGTTGGCCTAACATGTCCAGTGTGTTTTCTTTTTTAAACATCGACATGTGATAATACAATTCCCAATCACAGTACAAACCAAAGATTGGGTTTCCTTCATCCTCCACCTAACTATTCATATTCAGCAAAAAAGTGCAGAATCCCATCTCTCTCTCTCTCTTTTTTTTATTGTATTTTTCATTTTCAAATATTATAAATATTTCCCAGTATCAATTTTATATATATGTATATATATATATATATATATTTGTAAAAGCTGCCGTGGATATTTTGTGTTTTGTTTTAGATATTTTACCAGAGGCTTTTGTGTGTTCTGATTGGCCGCAAAGCACCAAAAAGTGATCGCTTCGCTCAAGAATCTCATTGCGAGTATTACACCCTTCGTACTCGCAGGCGCGTGGATTAAACATTCACGTTTTTAAAATTAAAAATAATGTGGGACCCAAACTTGCACTTTTTCTCTTTTTATCTTTTTTTTAACTGGAAAATGATATTTTGTATACAAATTTAGAAACTTTTCATAAATATATTTTAATTTGATAAAAAATTGTATTTAAATTTAAAATTTTCTAAATATCTCTACAGATTATTTAAATTAAAAATAATTATATACATAATTAATATTTTTAAAAAAAAAATTGGATTCTACGGTAGTTACTTAACTAATATATTAGCTAATAGAATCGAAAAATTTTACCGAAAATGATTGTTACGTATAATTTTTATTAATTTTAATAATTAGTAGAAATATTTAAAAAATTTTGAATTCAAATGTAGTTTTTTTGTCAAATTAAAAATAATCGTATATAAAAATATTATATTTTGTTAAATTACTGTAGAAAAATATTATTTTTTAATATATTTTTTTTCGGTCTGATTTTGTTAAATATTTTTTTTAAAAAACAGCTTATGTCGCATGCCTACATATGATCCTTTGCACAAGCATCCATCCATGTCTATCCATCCACCTTTCTTCCTCCCCCCCGCATGAGAAATTTTCTTTTCGAGCACAAGTTCTGGAATCTCTCTCTCTTTTCTAAGGCTCTGTTCTTTGTTTTCTCCGTTTTGAATTTCTGGGTTTTGTCCAAGGATCCTCAAAGGTGAGTTTTTTGTGCCCCTCTTAACGGTTCTTTTTTGGTAAAGCCCTCTTAATCGTTCTTGTTTGCTTGTTCTTTTCTTTGGCGGTAATATTTGTGTTTTCTCACTGTTTCTTGATTAAGGCTCGGTTATATGAGTGGATCTTTGTTGCTCTTCTGCTTCTGGGTTCTTCTTCTTCTTTCTCTCTCTCTCTCTCTCTTTCTGTGATCAGTGGTTTTTCCTCAGGAGCTGAGAATTCGGAGTTTGATTCCTTGCTAACAGGTAGAAGAAACAGCAGATATTTGTTGATCTGCAGTTGAAGCTTGAGCTTTGATGCTGTTTCCTTATCTTGGTTTGGTTTTGATCATGGAATGATGTTCACGTGATACTTTCGTTTGGTTTCAATCTTCCCAAATATGCTATCTTTCTTAAGATCGTATAGATTGTTATATTCTCCTATTTGATCATTCTGGATTTGACATTAAGTTTGAAAAAATATATTTTTGATAGTCCTCGTATAAAGCTGAGTAAGATTTGTTAGCTCTTCTGAGAATCTCGTGAAGATTTCCTTTTCCTTTTCTATTGTGGCCTGTTGCTTTGCTTACTAAACCTACACCTGCTTCTGGAAATCACACCCAAATTCAGAAAGATTAGAAAAGATTGCATCTTTTTTCTTCCTTTTGACCTTAATTAAGCAACTTTTGGGGTTTTCTTCACACCTAAACCATTTTCTATATGATTTTCTTGTATGTCTTTTCCAAAGAATGTGGACTAAGACGTTAGATGATTTGTTCTTACAGTAAAGGAAGCTCCTTCCATCAGCGCATACAAAGATTTGGAGAAGGGTTGATTCAGTAAAAGATGGGGTATATGTGTGATTTCTGTGGTGAACAAAGATCCATGGTTTATTGCCGATCTGATGCGGCGTGTTTGTGCCTCTCTTGCGACCGGAACGTTCATTCCGCTAACGTCTTATCCAAACGCCATTCTCGAACACTCGTCTGCGAGAGGTGCAATTCACAGCCTGCGTCAGTAAGGTGTACAGACGAAAGGGTTTCTCTCTGCCAGAACTGTGATTGGTCTGGCCACGTCCCTTCGAATCCTTCTGCTTCGCATCATCAAAGGCAAACCATCAACTGCTATTCGGGTTGCCCTTCGAGTGCAGAACTCGGTTCTTTCTGGTCATTTGTCTCGGATAATTCCTCCCCCGGCCAGTCTGAATGTGAACAAGAAATGGGTCTGATGAGTATAGCCGATGATGGCCCGAGAGAAAACTTCACTGCCCAAGATGTTTTGGCCGGCTCTTCGTCAGTCCATGAAACCGGTTCCAGGAGAAATTGTGCTGCGAAGAACATTTGGTGGCTAGCCCTAAGCTTGTAGACGGAACCTATTGTTTGATTTGAAGACAGATGTGAATTCAATGATCTAGGCTAGTCGAAAGGGTCATTGTGCATTGAAGTATGGTCACTTCAGCTGTGTAGAAGATAGTTCCCCCAGATTAGACACCTATGTTTATCTATCAATCGAGATGATGGATGCTTTTGTGTTCTTTTTCCTGTTTCTTGCTTCGTTGAGCCTGAAACCTCTGCCTGAACTACGTATTACATTGCTTTTTCGTAGAGTCACTCGATATACCTCTGTGTTTTATCTCAATAGAGCTCATGTGAACTCTGCCATGGCACCTGCAATATTTCTTTGGACCACCTCGGAATTTGCTTCTCCTTAAACTTAAAACAAGATTGTCTTGTGGTTGGTTGAAGGGCCTTGGAGTATGTGATGAGGTTGATTTGGATCTTGAGAACTATGAACAACTTTTCGGCGTAGCCTTCAACCCTCCCAGACGAGCTCTTTGAAGAAAACGGTGGCCTTTGACAGTCTGTTTCAGAAGAACGACGTCCCTTTCTGCCAAACCCAGGTTTTTTTTCACTATCTTCTACCAGCTTATATTATATAATCAAATATAAATGGAATTACGGTTTGTGATTCTGTTTACTCAAATTCAGGGATTTGTCTGCTGCATCTGCAGATTCTTTCTTTAGTGCTAAAGCTGATTCAAAGAGAGTAAGTACCCTTCTGAAGAAAACAGAGTGAATTCATGATCATTGAAGGTCTCTGATCATATCCATATTGGCCCATTTTGGTTTGTAAAATAGGTTTTGAGAGGAAAAAGCTCCAGCTAAGGCCAAATTCCACTGTTGGGTCTGAAAGTTTCTGAATTCGAAAAACACGCAGCAAAAGAAAGCAACTTTGGCACTGAAGAGGTCAAGTTTGGTTCATTATTACATGCACCAGAGAGATCATCATGCTCTGTTCTCTTTGGCGTCAGAGAAACGGCATGAGTGGATTTTGTTCTTCTCTGATGTACTTAGGCTATTAGACGCAAAATGTTTTCTATCGTCTTTTGTTGCACTACGAGGAACAAGAATCTGTAATCTGTCTGAAACAAAAGTTCTAGTCATACAACAAAAACCTACGATTCTGGTCCCTATTTGACGGCAGACAAAAATGGCATACCAATTGGTTGATACTCTTTCCATGTTGCTTAGTCTTCTTCACCACTTTCATTCCCAGAAACACCATCAAAATCGTCAGCTCGGGTCGCATCCTGCAAGAACATTGGAAACCGAGTATATCACAAAATGAGACGTAACACGGGCATATAATATAATCTGTATCAAAAGGGCCAAGTCGCAGAGATGAGAGAGAGGTTGGTGAAAGAGAGTGATACCTGTTTCTTATCCCAGTCCTTCAGCTTTGGGTTTGCCAACATGAAGTTATCACGTAGAGGAGCCCACGCAGGAGCTTCATTACCGTTGGAGTTGGAAGAGTTGGCCTTGGCCTCTGCTGTTGTTGTCTTCCCCAACTCCGAGAAGAATGCTTCTTTTCTTCTCTTCTTTAACGCTGGTGGAAATTTCGATAGAATTAAAAACCAAGGCAAGCAGGTGAGGAGAGGTGAAAGAGAACACAGACAAGATTAAGACAGCAATGCAGTTTGATACCGTCTGATCCATCACAAAAACTTAAATAAGAGGGAGACAAGAAACAACAGAAGAAAGATCCTGCAAAAGATAAAATTGTACATAAAAGCTACCTTTAGCGTCTTTTGACCTTGAAGGATTCAGACCCTTCTGAGCATGTTGAGCCTTGTTTACCTGTGGCAACCAAGGTTCAAATCGATGGAACCGATTGGTTAACCCGAGAATGAACACTGACTACACGGGACAGAAGCAAACACAGTGCCAAAGGAGAGGAAACTTACAGCATTAAATAGTTTGACCACTATAGTTCCAGGAGGGCATGGAGGAAACCTAAGTCAGTATAAAAGAAATGCAACAATCTGAAAGAGAGATCATTAGTAAGTAAACAGTACCTCCTTTGGTAGCAACACCTATAAGAAACTTCTCATGGGAATCCAGATAATTAGCAGGCTTCACATGCCCTTTCTCGGCAACCTATTTATTAGATTAAGGAGAAAAATCATTGATGCCCGAAACCAAGGTGAACTATGAAAACAAAACCATAAAAAGAACAAAAATGTGAGTATGAAAAAGTTGGTTGATTTATCATACCAAATGCTTTTCCCTTTTGGCCTGACCCTTGACCTTTCTTTCAGCCTCCTCTTCAGCCAGTTTCTTTGCAACAAGATGCTTCTTTGCTGCGAGAATAGGACCCTGTATAGCAAACAAGATTCATCCCCAGTCCTATCTAACTCAGGAGCACAAAAAAGGAAACCAGATCAAATTAATTAGCTCACCAGTGTATCATCTTCTTTGCTCTTCTTCATAATTGCCCTGAACGCAAGTCTGAATCCCTTACTTCCTTCAGCCAACCTGGTGATCCCAGGCTGTATTTTTTCATTTTCTTTTGCTTCTTCTTCAGAATCGCCCTCGCCTAAACCTTCATCTTCATCTTCGTCTTCATCATCCTCTCTCTCATCACCTGAAGAATCCCCAACTTCATGCTCCATGGCATCATCAAGCTCATCGTTTTCATCATCGTCATCCGAATTGTACTCTCGTGCCCTCTTTTGAAACAGCTTCTTCATCTTCGTTGTGATCTTAACCTTCTCAGCAGAACCCGGTAATGCCTTTAACTTCTTCGCCTTTCCACCTTTCTTTTTCCCCACCCTTCGCTTTCTTATGCCTCTCCCTGCCACCGACAGACCAGCTTCCTCGCCGGTAGACATGTTTTACCTAGTAACACCAAACCCTTCATTAGTCACCATGTACACCACACAAAGTTCAAATCTTTGCAATACCGGAGAACTCCACTCGAATAAACCCGCAGGATCCACGAAAACTCTAAAACCCTAGCATTGTTCGTCGATTACTTTACTTTCCATGTGAAAGAGCTAAAACTGTACCCCCATAAAACTTCAGAGAGCCAAGACAATAACTATGACTCGCACATAGACACGCATGGAACCATCGAAAATCCTAGAAACACCAAATATTTTCCAATTCTGGATTGGTTTAACTCCTGAAAAGCTCGAACTCACAAAAGACAAACACCGAAAAGCCAACCCAGAAGAAGAAATTCAACTAGGAAGCTGGAGAAACTATGCAGACGCACCTTTTGAAACGATTATCCCTCCACGAATAAGAGACGGATTCTCGCCCGAGCAAAACCGCGGGATTCTCGATACGCGTCGAAGACGGCGGGTTCAAGCGACTTCTTCCCTTAGAGCGCAGCGCACTCTATTTCTTCTGCACGAAAAAAAATATATATATATATCGGGTCGGGTCGTGGAGAGGATCCGAAATCTTTTTGAGGTTTTATATTTGGGCCTTAATGGATCTCTTGTAAGCCCAATCTGCTAATGGGCATCATTTTTATTCTTCCTTTTTTTGGAAGTACTTCAATACTCATATTCTTAATTATTTTATAAGAAAATTACGTGTGATAAACATATATATATATATATATATATATATATATATTATGAAAAACAAAAGAAAAGTTTATACGTATGTATCATGCAATATGCATGATTGGTCGAAAATATGGTCCTTTTAGACGTATCGTATTTGGTAATTGATTAAAACATAAAATAAAAAACCGTGTTCTATGGTCAAAGATACGTTCCACACAAGCGAAATCCAAGTTCTTCGTTATACAAGACATTTTTTTAGCGAATAAAAAGAGGGTTTTTTTTATATAATTATATAAAAAAAACTTTAATTTTAATGGAACGTAAAATGTGATGGCCAGTTGCGAATTTATTTTTATTCTGAACTAATATTTTGTTATTAAAAAAACTTATGTTTAAGGGGTTGTAAAACAGGTAGACGACTTATTAACCGATCCTAGATTCATCTATATATGAGTTATGCTTGCTTGACATTTTTTTTGTAATTGCTCAAACAATTCTATTGGTATTCTAGCTAGATGAAATATCATTTCATGTTTTTTTTTAAAAAAAATCCGTATATGTGCACAATATATATATATATATATATATATATGTATGTAATCAAATTTCAATTCGAGGCGCCATCATTCTACCAAATTTTCACAAAATTCAAACATGTCTATCAAATCATTATCCTCTATCTACCCATGAGGGTACATAAAGCTCTAGTTGGTAACAGTAACATCTAATAATATTGAGTCTTTCATTGGTATATATATAGGCACATAAAATATATACACATGTGCATGGTGCATGCATGTGTATGTCCATGTGGCATGCAAACATGCGTGATGGAGACAGGAAAAGCTAATCCAAAAGACGGGGGGGCCATGAGCGACACATGTCGACATGACATTAAACAACAAAACATAGTGTCCACATTGTTGGGATCTCAACTCAACACATTTGTCAAAAAATGGTCAAATAATTCTATGAGCTTTTTTCAAACTCATTGGTCCCTCTCCCTCTCTCTCTCTCTCTCTCTCTCTCTCTCTCTCTCTCTCTCTCTCTCTCCATCCACCCAATCACATCTTTTACAAGTGTCCTCGCGTCTTTCCCATTTGATTTTCTCAACCTATTTTTTCTTTTCTAAAATATTATATATTTTTTTAATATTTTCTGCCAAAAATCTCCATAAATTTGCAAATTTGACGATGTGGGTCGAATCATGTCGTATTCAGAAATAAGTTCCTTTTGTTTTTTCTTCTAATATTATCTTGTTGAGGGGGATAATTTGCAGGCATTATCTATTAAAAATGTAAATTGACGGGTGAAAATAGCGATTTCCCTTGTCTATTTTTATCCGTTGTTTGTCCATACAAAACGGACTATTTATTACTGTTATTATTATTATTATTATTATTATTATTATTATGGTACGTACTTGTTCGAATCGAAATATGAATATTTTGTGTTCTTAGAATCTTATATAATTCTTAATCTTTTTGGGTATCTTGTCACATGTTTACCATTTTGTTTAGAAGGTAGTCTTTGAAAATCTGCCCATATGATCACATGTATATCAAATGAACAATAAAATAAAGACTGTTTCATAAATTATTAAACTTATGCCTAATTATATATGGCCGCTGTTAATTTTTCAACACTAATTGTTAAAATTATAGTTCAAAATAGGCCATAGCTAAAGTTGACAACTTTATCACCGCCAATTCCATATTTAACATCAGCTTCTCCATCTTCGTTCTAAAAATAAACATTTATGAAAGATATATAAATGAAGGAAAGGGAGATATTTGTACAAAAATTTATTAATAAATTCCGCCTTATTCATCATTAAAAAAAAGGAACTTTTTTTTTCTGGAAAATTATGACTTGTTAGTAACATAAGAACTTAAGATTTCGAATTTCATATTTATATTGGTACCAAGGAATTTGGTGATGTGGATCATATCTCTTGGTGAAAATTTTGTTTAAACACTTTTAACCCATAAACACTTTTTTGTTTACAGTTAAGTTATAATTAAGATATTACTTGATAAATGTATCATTTGATAGATTTTAAATTGAATTAAAACAAAGTGTATGATTTGCTAGATTTTACACCAAATAATCAAAGATATTATTGGCAAAATACACTTTTTTTTTTACTATTTTCACTAATGCATCCTACCATAGTATATTGGAAAATAATAGTGAATATATTTCTTTCCTCTTTTCCTTTTTTTTTTTCAGAAACCATTTAAAGCTATTGTCCTTCGTAAAAAGATAAAGATAAAGCTTTTGTTTTGTCTTCATATAACTAGACATGTTCCTAATTATCATAGTGAAAAAAACATATCACATGACAATTTATCGAATACTAATACTAATAATATATCAAAATTATTAGAAACTTTAAACATATATATTTCAATATAAATATATTATTAATTATTTTATATAAATATTTATTAATTTTTTTGGAAAAAAGATTTGTATAGATGATGACAACGATTTCTCTTAAAAAACACACACACAAAAAAAACAATGAAATTACAGAGTAAAAAACTCGTGAATTATTCATTTTTTTTTAACATATATAAGTGAACAAAAAAAATATATAGAATAAAACGAAGACATGGGCATGCAAGTGAATATAAGTATGGTAAATGCTTAACAAGACATGTTTGTTCCATGTGGACACATATGAAAGCCACTAGGCCTGTCCATGCCCATGTTGTCAGAGACAAGTGGCCTTGATAAACATATACACACATATATATATACATATCACATTGAAGCATATGTAAACGTATGTGTATGTGTGCATATATATATATATATATATATACAAGTAACGTGTATATGTATATATAGATATGCATATGTGTGGATGCCTTACAAGATTTGGACAAAAATAAGCAACAGGAAATCAGAAACTTAAATGCCATTTGGCACTATACAGTTACTGCAACAAGCATGATATGATCCAGGTGGTATAACTATAATAAAAAACTTAATTAATATATATATATTTAAAAAATTAATTAATATATATATATAATTATGAATATATATATATAATAAAAACTAACTATTTAGCGGTTGATCTGCAATTCTGTCATATTGTAAAAAAAAAAAAGATGAGAATATATTAGATATAACATTTTTTTATTCGCAAGATTCTATAACATATATGTTTTCTCTCATCCCTCAAACAAATACAAGTGATTATATATATATATATTGTGATTTTGGAATGATTGAGTGAGTGGTTTAAATAAAATACCCTCCTAATAATACGTGGACAAGACAAAGTTCATTAATTATGATTACCCATATTTTTTTAAATTTATTTAACTTGTAATAATTGCCGATTACAAAGAAACACCGCCGAAAATATCATCACTTTCTTTAATTAATTATTATTTTTTAATCGCTGAAAATGAAAACAGTACAAAAGGATCTGATGAAGACTTATCCCATTCCATGACGTGAAAACGAAAACAAAAGAAAAAAAAAAGTAATCATGGTTAACAGAGTCCCGGAAAAGCCGGAAAAATGTAACCATGGTTAAGCGACCATGGCTAAGGGAGGTCTTGGAGCTTGTATAAGAAGGACAGAGAGATATCGAAGATACACCCACCAAAATTCGAAACCTTTGATGTCGTGTTCCATCCCATAAGAACCCTAATTCCCAAATACGGTTCTCCACCTAATTTTTGGGTTTATAAATCGTCGTGCTCTTTGAGGGTTTCTCTTTTTTGGATAGTCTTGAATTCTCGGTAAGTTCATGTCCGAAGTTGCACGAGATCGATGTTTCTTATCTTTCGATTTCCTCGTTTCTTGTGTCTGAATTCTGCAAATTCGATTCTAAATCTGATGAATTCGAGCGTTTGGATCTCGGTTTTTCCTTTTGTTGCATTTCTGTTCTTGAGATATGTTTACATAGTGTACTATACATACATGTAGTAGCCGTATGTTTAATCATTGTTGTTTATAGGATCAATGGAAGATGATCAGTAAGAATTCATTGGAGTCTGTATCTGTGTAACTGTGGTTGAACATTGAACACAACAGCAGAAGAATTTTGGCTATGTTTTTAATTGAATTTGAGGGCAAACTCCGTTTGGTTTAGCAATCAAGTTCTGTGTTTCTTCCTTCTGATTCTCTGAACGAGTTCAGTTTCTAAATCTGTATTTTTTTCATGAATGTCTTGAATTAGAACACGAGATTTTTTTTTTGATAAAGTAGAACCCAAGATTTGATAAACCCCTGTTCTTTTTCTTGTTTGTCTGTCAAATGAATTGGTCTTTATATGACAAAGGTGTTTGCTTCACATGTTTTAGCTACGCTTCTGTTCTTGATAATGGCGTGGGAGTGAAGCAGGACACTTTTGGGAAAGATTGGTTGCCTTTTTGAGTTTTTCTGTGTTCTTATCTAAACTCAGACTTTCTATTTTTGGACCAGGGATATAAAGGAAGCGAGGATCGTTATCTTTAGACCACAGAAACCAGAGCTCTGTCATCTGTTAGGGCTTCCAAAAAAACCCCAAAGCTTTCTGTCTCCATTTCTTCCTGCAAGGGTTTGATTCTAGAGAGAGAAAAATGGGTCTGTCTAGTCTTCCCGCGCCATCAGAAGGAATGCTCTGTGTTATTCTCGTGAACACTGCCTTATCCATATCCATTGTCAAAGGAATAGTGAGATCAATCCTCCACATTGTTGGTCTCTCCTCATCCTCAGCCGCATCAGATCCGACTGAGGCATACCCAGATGAAGCATATGACCTGAGAATCTATGCCTCGGAATATAACTATGTGGAAGAGTTCAGGAGCCAGACTCCATCTGTTCGATTCAAGAGCATCTTTGGTTGCCAACAACAACAATGTTTGGGTTTCGATCACAGATGCTCGGTCTGCTTGACGGAATTCGAACCCGAGTCAGAGATAAACAAGTTGGAATGTGGGCACGTGTTCCACAAGGCGTGTCTGGAGAAATGGATAGATTACAGGAACATCACTTGCCCTTTATGTCGGAACCCGCTTCTCCCACAGGAGGATCTTTCCTCGTCGCCTTGCTTCTGGTGAAGTGTTGGGTTTTGAGGAATGGTAAAGAACAAAAGGAGAGGGAGGGAGTGTTTTTCCAATGTACAGAAGATGGGTTAGTTTTAGTTTTTGTTGTATAGAAGGTACATGAGATGAGACTACGAAGAGAGTTTATGCCTTGAAATGGCAGTGATGATGTTTTCCCTTTTAGGTCTATTTTGTGGTTGATGTTTGCCCTTTGTGTCCTATCATCTTTGCTGTTCAATGTACATATGCATGTATATCAAATATGAGAACATCTTTCATGTTGAATCTCTCCATGTTTCAAGAACCAACACCAAATGGTATGTTAGTTAGGGTTTGAAAAAAATTCAAGTTAGATTAGATTTCCCTGTATCAAGGTCTGAATTTGGACTCAAAAGGAATATGTGTAACAAAATAAAAAGGGGTCAGTGAATATACTGAAACAATTTATAACATTTTCTTGAGAATAAGCCCAAAAAAAAAAAAGAAGAAGCACCAATTACAACAGTCTACCTCTTTCCTGTGCTTGCTATAAAAAAAACTCACTCTACATGTAAGAAATAAAAAGAAACACACTGCAAAAATAGAGCAACCCCCAAGGGCGAATCAGAAATTTCTTTCTCCAACCTAACAACAACATATATAAACTTACCTTCTGGAGCCTATTCAAAAAAACCAAACCAACTGCCCCTGGAGATAAAGAATAGCGGAAAAGAGACCGATAACCCGACTCATCCACAAAGTTCTTGGCTTTAAAAGAGAACTAAGAACCCTTGAAACTACGAAACAAAAAATTTGGTAAAAACGATATAAGAAACACCGATAATTCGATAGGAAAGAAGGTAACTTCCCTAACCTTTTGTTTTTTTTAATGATCCTTGTTGTTGTCAAGCCCTTCTCATCCGATACCTTCTTCATCCCGAGGGGGGAACTATTCTTCTAAAGTCTTGATAAAACGGAACACACAAACACGACACCCACATCCGCATAACTTTATCCTACTCCCACCTTGGAGCTCCCCAAAACATGTCCTTGATACCCTCTCTGTTCAGTAATTACTTGGCCAGTTCATTTGTGTCTGCTGAGGCTGTTGGAAAACATTCAGCCCTGGTGCCACCATATCGGGTCTAGCCACGGCCTGAGACTGCTGTAAGAGCGGATGATGAACGGTTGCTGCTGTTACGGCCTGTGTGGGGTGATACATACCGGGAAACGTGATATGACCCGCTTGTGTTGGAGCGTAAGTCACGTGTTGGTCCTGGTGCTGTAGATTGTAGAAAGAATTTACGGGCAAGTTGGATACATCACGACCACCTGTGACCCATACAGGCAAAGCTTCACTCTGTGAACAACCAAAACTCATCTGTTAGAATATGTTCTCATTGAATCCATAATATATGCTCTGCTGTTACAAAGATTATGAAAAGGGCGTCAAGGCAAACCTGCTGTCCTGTGGTGTAGCCATTGGTATCCTTCAACTGCGATGAGTTAAGATCCTCATTAGCAGTTGAGTTCCCAGATGATGCAGCGGAATTAGGAGTATATCCAGCTGGGAAAGAGCCATATGGTCCATAACCACTTGGCATACCGACATGGGTCAAGCTTCCTGTGTTAGTCCCGGTCTTGTACTGTGGAAGTGAGTACTTGCTTCCCGTTGAAGCTCCAGGGGGAGGAGCAGGATACACACCACTTGCTTGAGGCTGCTGCTGGAACGCACCATTGCTTAAGAACTGGTGGACTGCCGGTGGCGGAACATAGAAAGGGGAGTAGTAATATGGCATGTAGTTCAGTGGATAGGGTGCCACATGCATGCCAGGAGGACGGAAAACAGGGAGAGGTTGCTGCGTGACAGGTATAGAGCTCTGCATCAACCCGGCTGCTTGAGTTACCAGCGGAGTTGGACTAGCAGTGGGCAATACTAAGGTGCTTCCACCCTGCAAAACGAAAGCCTAGATGTAATGTAATCAACATAACCATTTCACAAACTTTTGCGGAGTAGGTAAATGGATAATTTTGTCTAATGCTGCAGCTGGTGCTCAAAGATGAAATGCGATGATAAAAGTTTCAGAACCATCTAAATTGCATGTGTTATGAACCACTAGCTTCACCTACAAAATTGCACAAACCTCTTGCAGAGACTGAGTTGACTGTGGAGGCAATACTGTGACACCACCATTGAATTTGGTGGCAACCCCTGGGGTAAAAAAGGGAGAAAGACGTCCATCGCTGTCAGAGGTAGGGCGGTAGAACTGAGCGTAGTAACTTGCTGGATCAAATGGTGGTTGGAACTACAACCAAGAAAATGACAGTAATTAGGTCGGAAGACAAGATGGAGAGAAAATGCAAGTGCTAAAATTGCTAAAAACATGTATTTAACAGTCACAAAATTTTTCCTTGCAACGGATATTAAATGCTTGGCATAACAGATAACTTAAGGCAATTAGCTTATGATACATTATTTAACAACACATTTGTTATACTAGTTTAGAAGGCTAACCACAAAGCTTGGAATGCGGAGAGCATCACGCGCTTGAGGGTCAGTGTTCTCAAACTGTGGAAGCTGGCTCCCAAGTGCTGGAGGAAGAAGTCCAATACCATGATTTTGGGCATTAACTGAGGAGCTCTGATGGTTTTCAGACTCCAAAGTACTCTCTTGTTTGGGGTCATTGTACTCTGCAATACTACTTGCTGAGATGACACCATTGCCAGCCAAATCATCTTGAACTTGTGAAGGTGCTTCGGAGTTATCATAACTATCCCCTTCCTTTTCGACCACTGATGTATTCTGGTTACTGGATTCAAGAGAATATGCAGTTTAGAGGCACTAGTCATATTAATATGTAGTTGTCAGAGAAAGTTCTTAGATAGGATTTGAAACAGAATTTGTATGTTCGAGAGTCTGAACTGCAATGGTTAGAAATACAAAGCTTAAGTGTTACGCATTATGCGTAGATATCATAATGGTATTAACATTATGGCTCCTAGCAAAATGGTAAAAGTAAACATAGATCAAACCATCATGATGCACATGATTTGTTATTTTTTCTTTTGAGATTTTTGAAATCAGGATTTGGAACTGAGCCAAGAAATAACAATATTTTTGGAACTGCGGAGGAACTCTACAGCCTAAAGAAAAAATTAATCAATAAGCTTTTTTTCTATTATACCTAGAATCTAAGTACAAAATAATCTATGCACAATAAGCATGTGAAAGTATTCCGAACAAGAATAAAACTATATGCTTCACTGCAATTCAACTCCAAAGGGCTATAACTTAGAAGGTAAATAAATTCTCAGCAACGTCAACAAGTATTGAAGTAGAGACAGCTGTGTATACCTGAATGCATCATCTTCAAGACTTCCTTCATCATCATGAGAATTCTCAGATAGAGGTGTAGAACTCTTTTCATTCTCTGGACCAGCTACATTGTTTGATGTTAAAGAAAAGCCAGCATCAAAGCTTCCAAAGCTTAGCTTTGTTCTTTCAGCCTCTGGAACGAGAATATGATTTGGAATGATAACATGCTGATTTTGTCGAATGTGCAAGTCCTCAAGCTGCTTCTGCAATTTTGATGTTGCCTCTGTCGAAGGAAGAACCTGAACAGATGTTTTCTCACTGGGCTCGGCTGAAACTGCAGGAACTTCTGATGCAGATGATGCCCCAGATCCCTGGACAGGATTAAGGTTCACTGACTTTGGTTTCCATTCCTTAACAGAGCCAGCTACAAGAAAAATATACCAATCACATTCACATATATAAGTTAGCAGAATCCTGTTTTGCTTAATTAAGAAAGAATATATGACGATAAGAATTAAAGCTACCAAAAGACCTATCTCTTGAAAGCAACACCAATCTTTCATCTATATATATAACACACTCACCAGGCATACATTCTAGTCAAGGAAAATCTTCAGTGTTTTGTATGTTCATTCTTTCAGAAACAAGTATCGTTTGATAAAGTTCAGATTACCAACTAAGAACATCTATTTGTAGGTGCACAGTTCCATAAATAGCAGCAACTCCAAAAAATACTATTCATAAATGGCAGCAATTCAAGGACCAGAAAATGCATCATTACTACCTCTATGATGCCCAACTGTCTGCTGCGATCGATTACTGTAATTGGAAGAAGGCCGACTGCCTGTGCTGTTACTATGAGCTGATGTAGGCCTTGAGTAATGGGGATCAGAAAGACCTGCCTTCCCTGCCCCACGGGATCTCCCCAAATACTTGTGTTCTCCAGTGTGCTGTTCTTGAATTGTTTGCTCGCTCCCTAGTTTGGGACCTGAAGATGAGAATTGAACTTCAGAAGAGGATGGACGAGGGAGTGGCAGAGAGTCAACTTTTTTGTCTTCGGTGGGTAAATGCCCAGGGCCAAATGTTAAACCTTGATTTTTGGTCAATTCAACAGAAGGTGGTGCATTATCCAGCTTGTTTGTCAAAACAGAAGGTTCCATGGCTTTAGGTTGGTCCAGATCAGCTGGTATATGGGAAGCATGTTGAACATTGGAGCCTTGTAAGGGTAAACCAGCCGAACCATTGTCCAAGATAGCCGAAGAGCTGTCATACATTCAAAAAGGATAAGAATATGCAAATAGTTTAGTTATGTAATGTAATGTAAATATGTAATATATTCAACATAGAAAGTAAACTGCCAGCCCCTGCTTTCCCAACGGATGTTATGCTTTCACCCGTATGCCATGTAAGGACACGGGAAATGATGCATGACAGAAATCATATTAATGGGATAGTGCAAACCTAGAAGCAGTCTCTTTGTTTTTTATCTCCTGAGTGGGTGATATGAATGGGTCAGTGACCTGCTTTGAGCCGTTCTCCTTTTTCAAAGAATTCTTTGCACTGCTAGCATCTGAAAATATTTAAACATTTAAAACACTCAGGTATAACAGCCATGTTCATTCACAGTAACTAAATCTACAAATCATGAACTGCCTCCAGGATACTTTCTATATGCACATACTATTACAAGATAAACTAAAAATCAATCACCATATCATAACCTCTGAAGAAACACAAACAACAAGCCATCATTGAGGTCTAACTTAGCGAATAGAACAAACAGGATCGTCGCAGAAAACTACAAAGCTGCAGGATTGAAACAGTAATCCAAATACCCCAGAGATGATTGTTTACCATGAGTCGGATGGCGAGAAGAGAAATTAACACGAGCACCCCTGTTCCCACGGCCCTGGCCACTAGATCTCCATCGGGTTTCTGCAGAATCCTTGTTGCTAAGGTTCTGTACAACATCAAGAACTGATATTAGCACTCAAACTAGAGCATAAATCTGCATATCACAATCCATGCTGTCCATTGCAAATGATACATATTTCAAAGAGATAACCAATAAGAAAATGAACTGAACTACTGACAATCTATACCTCTTTTCTCTTGTCACGCTTCTTCTTCACCTCATGAAATGGGTCTGTCGAATCATACACCAGTCTTTGCATTAGCTCAAAAACAAAGGGGATAGAATAACAAGCTATTCACACAACAAACCTAAAGCCAGGAAAATCACAAACCCAGGTCCGCTTCAAAGATTAAAATTATAAGCAGCCATTGGCTATACGCAGCCTCCAGCAGAAGCCGAAGTAAGACCTCTAATAATCATACCAAGAAACAATATTGCCTTAACAAGCAACTCTAGACAACTGTGAACACAAGAACAGCTAAATGTAGCCATTGCCATAGAGATAGATCCAGCACATGGATGGCCCAACGAATTAAATTTCTAGACAACAGACTCCTCAATGAGAAAGCATCAAACTTTGTTCACAACTCATACAGCGAAAATATCCTCCTCAGGAATTAATGACTATCTTACAGGAACAGGCATAGACAGATCACTCGGAAATCTTCACTTAGAAGCTAGTTGTTCTTGCTTCAAAACATCACCAGACGAAGTAATTGATAATGATGATCTAATCATCCTCTTAGCTATTACGGAAAAACGATCACCGCCAGATTCAAATAAACAAAAACAGAAAAATGGTGACTTTTTTTCTCCCGGAAATATCACAGGAGATAAAAGGTAATCGTATCAAAACCTAAGCAATTCAGGCAAAAGAAAAAACAAAAACGAGAGAAGAAACAAATCAAACGCTAAGCCAAGTGAAAACCCATGAAATCGAATTTTCACAATCAAATCTCGGATCGAGTCAAGCAAATCAGACATCAGAAGAGAGCGAAAAACGGAAAACTCAAAGTGAGGAAAATAAGCAATAAGATTATACCCTGGAGGAGGAGGCGCTGGGCGGCCTCGTCAGGATCCATGTCGCATTCATGGAGCATTGCGAGAATCTCGTCCTCGCTGTAGTTCCCTGCCGTGATCTCCTTGATGCTATGGATCATCTTCCTCGTGCTCGCCGGAATCGAAACCCTAATCCCGCCGCCGACCATCTTCTCAAACTGTCTCTCGCTCTTCGACTCTGCTTCGGTGGAACCGAATCTGGGACCAGACCTAGGGTCTGACAGTTCGTATATAGACAAAATACGTGAGTTATAACGACGAAGGCAACGGGACAGCGAGAGGATGAGATTCGCAACAACTTCGTATCTGTGGACTTATCGAAGCATGAATCTGTGAAAAGTAGCGACGAAGACGACGAAGGAGAAGAGAGAGGGAGAGAGAGAGAGGGGGAGAGAGAGAGAAGGGGACGGGAGAGGAAGGAGCAATACGCAGTGTGATTTTGGGAGGAGCTTTGGGGCTTTTTGTTTTTGATTTTGTGTTTTTTTTCTCTCACTTTTTTTGTTGTGTTTTTTTTCCTCCTCGGCTTGCTTTCAGCCTTCTTTTACTATTTTGCCCCTGTTCAACTACTTTGTTTATGAAATACTTATATTTTGTCTAAAATATTGTTAATTTTATATCAGGAATATTTTATATAAGAGCAATTTAAAAAGTATTATCTTTTGTCCATTCAAATAAGCATATCGAAATTTTGTTAATAAATCTACAAATTAGTTTAAATTAGAAAAATAAGTCATTTAAAAACATTTCAATACTTTGAAAATTCATTAAATTTTATTTTTGAATTTAAATTAGAGTAAAACCCATAAAAATTTCTAAATTTGTAAAACGATGGAAAATAAATTCTCAAACTTTTCGCTTAACAAATTTATTCCCGAACTTACAAAATGATATATTATAATTTTCAAACTTGTAAAATGTCTTATTATAATTCTCAAACTCGTTTTTGAATCAACATCATTGATATTTCTTCTAACACTAATTAACAAAGTTTAGAAATTATAATGATACCAATTAACAAGTTTGAGAATTATAACGATACATTTTACAAGTTTGGAATAAATTTATCAAACAAAAAGTTTAGAAATTTATTTTCCATCATTTTACAAGTTCAGAAATTTTTATGAGTTTTACCATAATTTTTAATTTAATATTTATTTTAAAATATTTTGTGTATGAATAACTAAAAATATTGTTTTTAATTCTTATATTTTTTTATATATTTTGTAACAAATATTTTTGAAAAACAAATTATTTAGTATTAATCTACATCATATCATAATATAATATTAAATAATAAGATTGATATTTTATTTTATATTATCTTAACTAGTAACAAACTTGATTTAAATAGTTATGAATTCATTGATTTTTTATTTGTAAATCTATTTTTAAAATTATTATAGATATTTTTTATATATATCATTATTTTAAATTGGATAATAAAATTTAGAAGTATTCATATATTTCTGATTTGTTTGTTTTAATTTATTACATAATGTGTGTGTGTATATATTGGTTTGGGCAGAAATTTCCGACATGGCTTTTCACATTAAATTTGCGGTGTGAAACTTCTGCGGCCTTATAATTTGTGTGTGTGCCGTCGCTAGCTCGTTCGGCCTCCAGAAACTTCAGAAAATCCCCAATCCAAACCTCGAAAACCCTAATTCCCAATTTCCTCCAAACTCGAACCCTGTAAACCTTTTGAATCTGGGTCTTGTCTCTGATTAATCGGCTCCTTCTCTCGATCGCAAGGTTTTGTGACTCACATGGGCTCTCGGAAGGGCGATAACCCTCACTCCGGCGACGGAGCGGGTCTTGGGTAAGCGTGCTTTTCTCTTTCTCCTTCTCGCTCTCTCTCCCCTTCCGTACGCATCGATGGCTTTTTAGGTTTCTACTCCTTTTAGGTTTAATGCGAATCAGGGAAGACAGATTTCTCAAGGATTTTGATCTTTTTGTGTGTCTTTCTATAGGAAGATCTTTGTTGGAGGTTTAGCTAAGGATACAACCTTAGGTGCGCTTATACGATCCTTATTAGTCGTGCTGTTGATACCAATCAATCGAGTGGTTAAGATGGTTCCTTTATTTTAGTTTGCGACCTTTTTCCTTCTTATGCTTGTTCGATCGATCAATTGCTCCCTTTGATGATCTATGATGTTTCTTTAGATATTTTTGTCAAGCATTTCGGAAAGTATGGGGAGATTACCGATTCGGTGATTATGAAAGACCGTCATACGGGTCGGCCGAGAGGTTTTGGATTCATCACTTACGCAGACCCTTCCGTGGTTGACGCTGTCATTCAAGATGTACATGCCATCTGTGGCAAAGAAGTAAGCTTTTTAGTCTTTTTCAGTTTGTTTCCTGCGATATTATTCATTTTTATTTGTGCATTTGCTGAGAGTTGGGGTTATTTTGGGGGTTAAGTTTCTGTTTGGACATGTTGATTGTTCCAAAAGTATTTCATTAAATTCATTTAACCTCTTCTGTTTGTTTGATAAACGGAAGCAGGAGGGCTTCTGGTTCCTCCCTCCTTTTCGTCTTTGAAAGAAACATCGCTTTTGGTTCCCAAAATGAGGGGAATTATGGCCTAATAGTAATAACTATGTTGATCAGGTTGAGATCAAGAGAACCATCCCTAAAGGTATGGGGACACCTACTGAGTTCAAAACGAAGAAAATATTTGTTGGCGGGATTCCATCAACTGTGACTGAAGGTACACGCCTTTTAATCTTTTGCCAAGTGCTCCATTTGAACATTTTAGTCATGAATTTGCCTGCTGACTTTGGCCCTTCTCCCAAATGTCAGATGAGTTTGAGAGCTTCTTCTCGAAGTATGGAAAAGTGGTGGAGCATGAAATAATAAGAGACCACGTGTCTAAGCGTTCACGGGGATTTGGTTTTGTTGTATTTGACAGTGAAAGAGTTGTCGATGATTTACTTGCTGGTGGAAATATGATTGACCTGGCCGGTACTAAGGTGAGTCCATGGTTAGTTTTTGAATCTCATCTGTACTTGAAACATGTATGTATGCTTGTGGTGTTTGATTATACTAAAATTTCCAAACTAGTGCCGAGTGTTGTGAATCTGTTGGACTTGGTATCATTCAGGAGTCTGCACGAGTCTTAAGCTAGAGCGGTTGCAAAAGTGATCCTTGTTATTATAGGCTCATAGAACTAGGTTAACTTGGTTCCTTATTGTAGGTTGAGGTAAAGAAGGCTGAACCAAAGAAACCCTCAAATCCACCTCCTGGTCCTGCATATGGTAACGAGTCTAGAGGACGTCCATACCATGAAGGTTACGGAGGGTACGGAGATTATGGTTATGGTAGTGGTGGTGGTGGGTATGGTCCTGGTCCTTATAGGTCATCAATGGGAGGGTTTGGTGGTGGTAGGTTTGGTGATTATGGTGGATATGGTCCCGGTGGTCCAGACTTCGGCCCAGGGGGTTATGGCGGTTATGGAGGTGGCAGCGGCGGGTATGGAGGTGCAGGTGGTTATGGTGGGTACCGAGGTGATTCTCCTTTTGGCGGAGGCGGTGGTGGCAGTTACTCTAGTAGGTATGGACCCTACGGTGGTGGTGGATATGGTGGGACTGGTGGTGGTGGTGCGATGGGTGGGTATGGACGTGGTGGTGGAGGAGGGTATGGAGGATACGGTGGTTCAGGGCCGGCGGGGGGTTACGACTCAGGTCCTGGACCGAGCTACGGCAGCGGTGGTGGTGCCGGAGGGCCGTACGGTGGTGGTGGTAGGATGGGAGGCGGGTACGGTGGAAGTAGCAGGTACCACCCTTATGCAAGGTAGATTATCGTCTTAAGGTTTCTGTCTAGAAGCATCTAGAAGAAGATCGTATCTCGGCAACTTTTAGTCCTCTCTCATGTAGATGGGAACTAAGCTCTTTAGAGATATGTTGGATTCTCCTCCTGTGTTTTGTTTTTTGAGTCGATGTTGTCTGTTGCTGTAGCTGTAGCTGAGAGAGATTCAGAAGACATGTGATTGTGTTTTTACTAGATTTTTTTTTGGTTAATTATATACATTTCTAATTTCACTCTGATTAATTTGAAGCCGTGTTTTTGTCTATTTATTTAGATATTTTTTAATTGAAAAAATCGTATTTTAAATCTTACTGCTTCCCATATTTTCCGCATAGAATTGAACTTAATGTGGAAAATATAGAAGTCTCTCATGTAAATTGCTACGGCAAAAAGATATGGTTTTTCGGTCTTTTTTAATTAATTTGTATTATTGAGTATTTTAAATAATGAGTTTTAAGTGTAGGATTTAATTTTAGTAAGTAGCAAAATATAGGATTTGTTTTGGGTTTGTCCCAATATAAAATGCATAATTATAGTGGTAGCCTTTCATCGAATAATTTCTAACGGTAGAAGAATCAGTTCAAATTTATTTTAAAAATATTCAAATCAATTTTTCATTAAAAAAAAAACTAAAATCAGAGAATATAGTGTGAGGGTAGTTTGGTCATTTACCGGCGGGGCAAAGCGATTTGCCTTTGGTTATCTGCCGCTCAAAAATTACCCACCAAGCCCATTCATCATATCGCTTGCCCAGTTCCTTCGGACTCCGGCGAGAAGCTGATCATCAAAACCTCAAGAATTTTTAGGATTTCGATCTTGATTTTTCTTTATTATTCAAAATCTATCTCCGGAGATCTTCGGACAATCTGAGAAAATGGAAGGACTCGTGTCCTTGCAGAGAAACGTCCCGAGACTCCCGGTTCAAGCCTTCCCCTCACGCAACCGCAGCTTCTCGATTCATCGGAGATTTTCTCCGGTGAACTCCGGGAGACTCAACGGTCGCTCATTCTCTCCTCTTCGTGCTCAACAGGTGCCGTCTCTGTCCCCATACTCTCGCAGCCTTTTGGGTTTCTTTTCTTTTGTGGGCAAATGTTGGTTCTCGGTTTCCAGTTTCGAGTTTTCGAGGATGTTCCTGATTTTGTAATCAGCATCGGAAGATTTTTCTGGGGTTTTAGAGTATGTATGGCTGCCGATGTTCGGTTTTGGTTTTGTTTGATATTATGTAGTCATTGTTGCTGATTCATTAGATTAAACAATCTCTTGTGCTGGATTTCTATCAGAATCGTTAGTCGCACCAAGATTTTCTACCATTGCTTCGTGAATGCGGTGATAACATGTTTCAGATTATGTCGAATCAATCATCTTCAATGATATTCCTGAAAGCCGAATGGTTCCGCCATAGGGAATTTTCGAGGTTTGAAGAAAGCAAGTGAGTAGTTTGAGGATTAAGCACTTATCTGTGGTTGTATTTGCAGTCTGAAATCGATGGATCTACTCTGGGCAAAGAAAATCATCTCAAAGTCAAGGAACTGGAGGGAGGAGTGATGTTTCAGGATGAGGTAGTAGCTAGTCAGGGTATAAGAATAAGGAGAAGGCCACCTTCAGGGCCTCCGCAGCATTACGTTGGACCCTTTGAGTTCCGCCTCCAGAACGAGGGAAATGTTCCTCGCAACATCTTGGAAGAGATCATATGGCACAAGGACAAGGAAGTTGCTGTGGTATAAAAATAAGTCTTGTTCATTCTCTCCAGTTTCTGTCTTCCATGTTGTCTTTTCGGTTGATTTGTTCTGATTGATTCAAATGGCAGTGACCTCGTTTGTTGGTTTCTCTAGATGAAAGAGCGAAGGCCTCTCGGTTTTCTGAAGAAGGCTCTCGACAATGCTCCTCCTACTAGAGACTTTGTTGGTGCTCTTAGAGCTGCCCATCAGAGAACCGGGCTACCAGGTTTAATAGCCGAGGTGAAGAAAGCTTCTCCAAGCCGAGGAATCCTTAGAGAGGATTTTGACCCAGTAAGGAACTTTCCCCATCCGTTTTCTCATTGTGTCAGTCATGTAGTTTTCTGTTATAATATGGACCAAAGGCCTATGTTACAACAACAACAACAACATCGTCTCATTCCCAAGTTCATTTGGGGTCAGCCTATGTTAAATCAGTAGAAATGGAATTGAGTTACAGACTATAGCCCGAACATGGTTTTAACTTCTCATATGTCTATCATAGGGGAAATGGGTAATTTACATTTTCTTATATCTGTAGGGTGTTGCTTATTTATATAACATCTTGCTTTTACTGCATTGCTTTGCTTATTATGCTTCTCAAGGTTTGAAATGTTAGGTGGCAATTGCACAAGCTTATGAGAAGGGTGGAGCAGCATGTCTTAGCGTTTTGACTGATGAGAAATTCTTTAAGGTAAATAGTATGAAGGAGATGATTTCCTAGACCACTTCTAAAGTTCTCTTCATGCTTTACTCTTTCTCTTCCCACAATACTAAGGAAACTTGCTCATATTGAAGCAAAGATAAGCATCTGTCAATGTTCTCTAACCCAATTCCATCTCCAAATAGGGAAGCTTCGAGAACTTGGAATCTATAAGGAATGCTGGTGTTAAGGTCTTTTTCCCCATGACATTTTCTTGGGTTTAAGCCGTGTAATCGCTTTCAAATCTTTCCTGTGACTATATATGGTACACAAATAAGTTCTAATTCTATCTTCTGTGCAATACAGTGCCCCTTGCTCTGCAAAGAATTCATCGTAGAAGCATGGCAGATATACTATGCTAGAACCAAGGGCGCTGATGCAGTTCTCTTGATTGCTGCTGTTTTGCCTGACCTCGACATCAAATACATGACTAAAATCTGCAAGATGCTTGGGTTGGCTACACTTGTTGAGGTTTGAATCTTTTTCTTCAGAACTTATGCAGATATGCCTGACAAATATGTCAGAAACTATACTTTTAGGTGTAAATGAAGCAACACCGGATGCTTTTATCTCTTATTTGAGCCAACAAAATTGTTTCCCTATACTAGGTGCACAACGAAAGAGAGATGGACCGTGTTCTTGCAATAGAAGGTATCGAGCTTGTTGGCATCAACAACCGTAATCTTGGTAAGAAGCTTGAACACAACGTCGTTATACCGAGAGGTACAACCTCTATTCATGGTCAGCATATTCATTTAGGCACACAAATCCATTCTTCCTCTTCTTGCAGAAACGTTTGAGGTTGACGTCAGCAACACAAAGAAGCTCCTCGAAGGAGAGCGTGGAGAGCTAATTCGCCAAAAAGACATACTGGTAAGCAAACCCGAAAACCCACCTCTCTTCTACATCATATACATCTTGAAATTGCAGCAACTGATGGTCATCCAAAAGCCAATTCAGAGGCTATCTTATCATGCTTCTTGTACTATTTACTATGACAAGAATACACTCATACTCTTATACATCTTATCTTATGTCCTTGCATTTAACGTTCAAGGTGGTCGGAGAATCTGGATTATTCACACCCGAGGACATTGCTTATGTACAAGAAGCTGGCGTCAAAGCTGTAAGATTTACAAACTCGATAAGTTTCATCTTCAAATGGCATCAGATCAGTAATAGCACATCTTCAATAGCCTATTGTACTAGAAGTGTTTGCATTCTTAGAACAGGAAACCAGTCTGATTCTAGTTCTATTGCACGGTGTTTCGATCTTGGCAGGTTCTTGTCGGAGAATCAATTGTGAAACAAAGGGATCCCGCGAAGGGAATCAGTGAACTTTTTGGCAGAGACATCTCAGTCTAAGTTTCATATGGAAAGCCTCTTTGTATAGAGAAAAAGACCTTCATTGGAAAAGGAAGGAAGCCTCTTTTTGTCTTTTTTTTTTTTTTTGTTACATTAGGGTAACATTATTGCATCTAAATTTCATGTAAATGTTGACCAATATTTTATAATATCAATTTGGCTGAAAACCCAATTGGTTTAGATGACCAGATGTAAAATGTTTTATGTCGATGCTTGTTTTATTATTTGAATTGATTATGACCCAACATTTATCATGTGAATTTGGCTTCTATCAAGCATTTTTATTTTAATTTTGTTATGCTTCTCTTTTGCTCAAATTATTCAATAGTTATTTTATATCAAATATTTGGGGGGAAAAAACGGATATAAAAGATGTTGGCGAGTTTCTCGATAAAAGAAAATTAGTTAGTAAAATATATGATAAAAATTAATTTGGATATAAAAATATATTTATATAAAGTCAAAACCTCCATTGCAAATACATATATCTACTTGTCCGCATATATGATATGGCAGTAATCTCAATGGCTAAAAATTAGGGTATCATTCGGGTCGGTTCGATCCGAGCTCGTACGGATCTAGAGTCTGTATTTATCCCGAAGATTTCGGGCTCAGGTTCGAGCTAGTCCGATTTTTTTTCCGGGTCTAAATAATCAAATCCGAAGTTCACCTCTATAGATAGGTTTGGGTTCGGATCGTGACGTTCTGTTATATTTGTTCTATAAAATTTATTTTTTTTAATTTTTTATTAATATTTAAAAAAAAATAGGGTTTCAGGTCAAGTCGAAGCCCGATCTGGATCCGATCCAAAAACCCGAAGTCTGTAGGTTTGAAGTGCGCTATTTTTCGAAAGCCCGATCGAGTCTCGAGTTTCTGAATATTTGGTACTCGACAAGATGGACGTGAGTCGAGAAAACTAGCTTAAATTGTTCCGACAAGTACGGAACATGTTTCAAGATTGAGACGAGTATTCCGTATTCGTCGTCGCCATCTCTATCATCTCGATAAAAACAAAAAATAAGGGGAAATAGTAGAATTAGATAATTTTTATTAACAGAATCCACATGGGAGAGAAGAATTTCGTCAATAAATCTTAGTCGTTTATAGATAAAATAAAAAAGACAAACATTATTCTCTTAAGCGCCATTTTCTTCATCTTTTGGTGTAGACAGCTCATCAACCTCAAGCTCCCACTCTTCATAAACAGAGTTCAATCGGCACGTTCGGCTTTTACGCAGCATAACCATCGTTTCTGCATCTCAATGACCCAAACCATCACACCATCATAAGCACCAAACCTCCCCAAAATACGACATACTACTATATATATATGTATACAGATTCAGACCCATATATACCAAAAAAAAGGTTATGTATCATCCGGGTGAGTGCGAATCGATGTCGAAATCATGATTCCAAAACTGAAGGACAAGTTGTTAACCAAAAAGGAATGATTTTGGAATTGCTTACAGATTGAGGCTTCCCAAGAACGACGGTGTTCTTCTTGTGGCTGCGAGAATCTTTGCTAGGGGTGTCGGTTTTGGTACCGCCCTTCCTCTCGTTCCGGGCCTTGTTGAATATAACAGTGAATCCATCGGCCGATGCCGGGTCGTTCACATCCCATTCCCCGAACTTGGGCAAGTGCTGACCCTTCTCCTTCTCCTTCATTATGGTTTTCAAACCAGAAAATTCACCCAAAAGAAAAATGTTCAGCCTCAAAGGAGAGCCAAGAGGGGTTAGTGCAACTGTTGCTACTATGGACTCTCCCAACATGAAAACATCAAAAATCATACAGACATAAATGGATACTGTGAACATAAAACAAATCTTGATGAAGTTAAACTCGGCCTTATCCCTGCGTGCAAACTAAGCGATTCCACGGCCGAATTAGATGGCAACAAGATACGAGAGTGGATCATCAGATTTAAAGGGCACATCGTAACGAGCAAGGAGAATCGTTTTTAAGTCCAAACCCCACAACGAAAAGCCATGGGAAAAGCACCTGAATATGGCTTCAACCAAGCAAAGAACCACATGAACCAAAACCACAAGCTGATAATGGAAACATTCGGAGAAAGTTTGCAAATCACGAATTGATGATTACAATAACAACGGCAAGAAATTGTACCTACAACAACAATATGTCGCGTTCTGAATCCTATTGTAATTTTAAAAAAAAAAGAGAGAGAGAGAGAGAGAGAGAGAGAAATTACGTCACAAGATTATCAAAACCAGAGACTACGGAATGAAAAATGGAAGTAGATGATCAAAAACGACAATGAACACCTAAAATGCAGCGTTCACTAATTTCCCCGAAATCGATTCATCTCTTCACGGAATGATGATTTCTCCAAATGCGCATTCAAAATCAAAACAACAGATCGAACGGATAATCAATCTCTAGGCCATACTGATAAATTAAAGTTGTAAAGGGGATTGGAAAATGGATCAAACGAAAGGGAATGAGGGAGATATGGTACCGCCATGGCCGGTGAGCGGAGAAGATTTGATGAGGAGGCGAACCCTTCTCTCCTTTTCTCTCCTTCCCGCTGGAGAATTGAGGAACGTCGTAATATGGGCTGGGCCCCACTAATGGGACTCAACGACTTTCAAAGCCCGCGATGATGTGTTCTTTTTCCTTTTTTGAGTTTTTAATTTTAAAAATCAATCTTATTATCATGCACCGCATTTTTTAAAATAGTAGGACGAACTTTCTTCTGTAATAAAAATAATCGAATAACTCTGCAATTCTTTTAGAAAATATATAATTTTTTTTATCAATAACAGAAATAATAAACTGAATGAAATTTAAAATTGAATTTAAATTTATAAAATGGAAAAACCGAATTATAAAAATAATCAAAATTCTAATTTATAAATATCCAACTCTATAAAATCATTGGCATTACGGTTAGTTATTATTTTAATTTTTAAAAAAATTTGCATGTACACATATTTTTATTTTTTATATTGAATTTTCTTTTAGGTTTCTAAAAATTAAGACATCATTAAATTCCACGGAATCTTGTCCGTACAGTAAGTACAATAACTCAGGTGAACAAACATCATCACTACTCTCACTTTATTTGACGAAATAGATCGATGAAAAACAAACAGACAGACAGCTCTTCAAATTTGGAGAACAAACCCAGAGTCAAGAACCTGAAGGCACAAAGACAAACACAATCACATTTCATAATTATGTCCGGAAATCATTTGATATTATACTATTAGAATCAGACAGAAGAGAGATTGATGACGAGTGTTACCTGGAAGATGCAAACGCATCAGACAAGTTCAAGCACGAGGGCAGAAGCTCCTCCTCCTCCATTGCAGACTCCTCCAACTCCATACTTTCCATTTCTCTGCCTTAGCACCTGAACAATTGTCGGCTTACAGTTTTTAGAAAAGCTAACTTATGTAATTGCAAATACATTTCACGGAGAACGATTGTGTGGCGGCGATTGTTTACCCCGAGCAGGGTGACGAGTATACGGGCACCGCTGCAACCTAGAGGATGCCCCAAGGAGACAGCTCCACCATTCACGTTCACTTTTTCCTGTGAACGCACACAGTATCCGCCCACCAAAGTTCTTGAGAATCAATAAAGTAGAGGTCGAGTTGATTACTTATTACAGGAGAGTGTTTTTCAAGTACAAACCGGATTAAGCCCGAGTAGTTTCTGATTTGCAAGAGCTACTACCTGCCCAAGTAAGAAATTTAAGGAAACTTAGCTATTGGGTAGTTGGTCTGGGAATTGTACATACAAGAGAAGAGGAAAGATTGAAAGGGTGCCTTACAGAAAATGCTTCATTGATCTCGTAGAAATCGATTTGAGAAGCCTCTAAACCAGCATGTCCTATAGCTTTCGGAATGGCAAGGGCAGGAGCAGTTGTGAAAAACTCTGGTTCCTGCAAGCGCAATCCAATTAACAATCGAACAGGGCAAGAGATCTAGTTTCAAATCACTGATTCCACAGATGCAAATCCTGTTGAGCACGATACTTAGGGGAGAATGAAAAGCACACAACATTATAAGTGACATACCTGGGCTGCATCGGCATACCCTTTAACTTTTCCAAGTACTTGAAGGCCGAGCTGAAGCGCCTTCTCTCCACTCACTAGGACAAGAGCAGCTGCACCATCACTGTCATGGCAGACAAAATATGCTTAAGAAAAAAGAGGCTGCAAGTTTGGCCAAGATACGCTGTCTACATAGTTATATGATTAATATAGGACCCAAATATTGTTATCTGATTAACGTAAGACCCTAACCTTATGCTAGATGCATTTCCAGCTGTAACAGTGCCTCCATTGTCCTTGAAACTTGGTCGAAGTTTCCTCAATTTTGCCGCATCAAACTGTCAAGAGGACCAGGATCATATAAGACACCCATAAATGGAGCAAATCAGAAATCTTAGTTTTTAGGTTTTTCTTCTTCAGCAATTCAATCATTGTTTTCACATTTTGTAAGTATGATGAACCAGTGGGAAGAAAAGGATTAGACAGGATATATGACATATAAAGACATGTGTCTTGAAAACCATTGTATTGTTCAATGTCTAAAGTGAAAATCATACAGGATATATGACATATAAAGGCATCACCTTTCCAAGACCGTCATCCTTATCAACAATGGTTGATGGCCTTCCTCTTCCTCCAGAAACTTCGACCTGCACGACCATTTGAGCTTACACCATGTCTTGTACATCGCAAAAGCTAATCTAAAGCTGCACTAACCGGAACAATTTCCCATGTAAAGGCATGGTCCTCCTGGGCAGCGATTCCACGCTCAAAACTCTGAATGGCATAATCATCCTGCACAAATCATCAACATGGCAATTGTCAACTCACGGAGCATTTGACTTTCCATAAACCATGACCCTGCTTACAAAAGTAAGATCAAATTGGTCTGGAGGAACTGATTACTGATAAAGACAAGCATCCACAAATAACAAAAAACACTTGCATAGTCTAAGTATTTACTAACCCCACAGACCACAATTTTAAATTTGAGAAAACTGGACACCATAGCAGTAATACCTGCTGCTCTCTTGTTATCTGATATTTCTCGGCGCATAGTTCTGCACAACTTCCCATTCCACAGTCGTTATAAACATCCCAGAGTCCATCTTTTAGCATTCCGTCTACAAGAGAGTCATGGCCAAAACGAGATCCTTTTCTGCAATAAAAATCAAATCAGAAACCTCAATTTATATATAGGGTACAACGAATGGTCCAGCTGCAGCTATTAGCAACCTTGCTTCCGCCAGATATTTCGGAACATTTGACATGCTTTCCATGCCACCCGCCACAACAATCTCATTGACTCCCAACTGGATACTTTGAGCAGCAAGCATCACCGCTGAAATCCCCCCAACTCAAATCAAAATTGTTTTCCTTATACAGATAGAAAACGATTAAAACTTTTGCTCAAAGGTCAAGTTCTCACCTTTCATTCCTGATGCACAGACCTTGTTTACTGTGGTACAAATAACAGAATTAGGGATTCCCGCTCCTAAAGCGGCCTGTCTAGCAGGCGCCTGGCCCAAATTTGCACTAAGGACATTGCCAAAAATAACTTCTTGGACAAGGGATGGATCAACATTTGCCCTCTTCAGAGCAGCTGCAAGGTAATGCAGTGACGAGTTAATACAAAACGAATTTGCACCCAAAAGCTTAGATGGGCATAATTGTTTTTTTCCTTCTGACCTTCGATAGCTATTGATCCAAGCTTTGTGGCAGGTAAGGAAGAAAGAGAACCGAGGAAGCCACCCATAGGTGTACGTGCGACACCCACGATGCAAACATCTGTTCAACAACATGTATGAATGTGTGAACAAGAAGGGTTTGGTGAATCTAAAATTCTAATATGCATCAGAAAGAACAAACACGTAATAGAAGAATGTGAATCATGTACCTCTAGATTTTACTGAATCTGCTGCGGGAGCCATCGTGAATCTACAAACAGTCCCACAAGTAAAACAATGAACGAAGGTTCCATTGCCACCCCAAAAAAATGCTCGAGTGAATCACGGCATCTTTTTTCGACAAAACTCAAAAGGGCTTAATTCCATGAGCCAGATCACACAACTTTCTCATTTCAAAACACGGATTAACACGAGAGCGAAACTTTGACGCAACAGAAGAAAATTCCAGAAACCATTCGTCTAAATACACAATACAAACACAAACACGAAGAAATATACGCAATCGGAAGAAAGCGGAGTTTCTCGTCAAACGAAAGCGAGCGAAGCGAAATCTCGGATCAATCAGACGTAATGATCGGCGTAAGAGAACGACATTTTGGGGAATGAAAAAAGCGAAGGCCAAAGACACCGTCAAAACAAACAGAAACCGGTAATTTCCATTGTCGATCAGAGGCGAAAAGAAACAAAATCACGAAGAAGCCCAGAGATCTAGAAAGAACATAGAAAAATCGAAGAGAATGGCTTACCTGAGCCTTCAATGTCTGGAGAGAGAGAGAGAGAGACGTTGGTGAAGAAGAGGAGTCAGCGTGAGAGTGGTACACAACACAACTAGAGAGAAGAGAGGGAAGAAAGAGTAGGAGGAGGGTCAGAATTTACATAAATACCCTCCAAGGCAGCAAATTCTACAATTTCGTCCCTAACATTTGCGGCGACAACTTCGATGAAGTGCGACACGACTGGCACGTGAATCCCGATCTTTCCATGTGGCACGTGGCCCTGAAACCATTGTTTCGTTTTTTTCATTTAACCAGTAATCGTGATTATATAAAGTGGGCATTCTGAATATGGTGTTCGAACCACTACCGCTTTCGTTTTATTAGTTGTTCAGCAAACTTCACGAGGTCATAATGATAGAGTACACGTTTATAATATGATTCCTCGTGACGTAATAATATCATTATCACATGGTCAATGAAAGATCACCAGTCAACGATTTCAGACGATCACGTAATCCTTTTTGTTTTGGTAAAGGTTGGCCAAAGATGGAGATGGGTTCAAATTTCCTGCTTTGTAGCTTTGGCTGTTCATCATCATCACCATAGACCTCAGAATCAGGGCCATGAAAATTCATGTACTCAGAAACAATAGTTCAGAGTTTTCATCCAAAAACACCTATACGCATTCATATACATTGGTAGCTACCGTACCTGCACCGAAGAAGATCCATTATCTGACTTTCATGGCTGCTAAATGTGACCCCAAGATTCACAAGAGTACCTCCAAGAACTGTATGCCGCTCTTTCCAACTGATCTAACAGGGGGAAAAAGAAATTGACGGGTTTTGCTCACGTTATAGAACGACCGGAAGAAGATGGTTTAGATCGGTCCTCTTCTTCTGAAGCTTTGTCTAGTGGTAGCCATGGAAGCTCCCATCAGGTTATATGCTTATGCTTATCATCTAACATCATCTACTCTAGTCATTAGGATCTAAAAACTTCATTTGCATCATTTGGGTCTTAATGTTCACCTTACGCAAATAGAACGAAGGAATTAAAAAGAGCATTTCATGGGAAAAAGGTATTCAAGATTCTGGTTTTAGGATATTCTCTTTGCTTTCCGAATCCGAATCCGGGTTCTGTGCAGGAGAAAAAGATGATCAACGAGATCAGAATACTGCCTGCACCTTATCTTGACTCGAGATGCTGCAAACATTTCCAAACATAGAGATCAATAATGGTCAGAGTAACGCACAAGTCCGATCCTTACAGCCTCTTCAATGTAGATCCATATAAAGTGGACAATGTCTATGACATGCCCGCCCTGGTCCAGAAAGGACAGCTCAGTCATGGTCCTGACATGTATTCTCAAATATGTTAGCCACATGCATTATACATATCAGAAACTGAAGGAAAACTCTTCAAAGAAGAGATTACAACCTTAATGAATGAAACTTATCTCTTTGCTTTCTGATCGAATCATGTTCACTAAAAGGAAAGAAAAAGAATTTATCGAACGTACCTTACAGCTCCCTTTATGGCTTTTGTGCATTACTTGGCTAAGTATTCTAACACAAGGAATAGAAGGCCTGAAAGGATTTCGTCTCCACTTTCAAAAATCAAAAAGCTCTTTCGATTCAGAACATCAAAGAAGTAGAGACAACTCTTAGTATTCACTTGCTGTATTAGAAGCCATAACTGATACAAAAGTGTCAACTGGGGGCATATTTCTAACATGATCAAGAATTGTAGAGAGTTCCTTACGAACATAATCAAACCGTTCTTTCGAGATCAAAGATTCTGTTAGCAGAGTTTCTGTGAGCAAGTGAAACTCTCGAGCACACAAGTCACTGGTGCCTTGGCCATTTTGACTCTCCGTGGGAACAAGAGAGCTTTCCCTCCTCCATCGAAGAAGGAAGTATTGGTCCGGTATCTGGAAGAAGTTCTTCATGAACAGCACACGAAGAGAATGCCTGCACAAGATTCCCGAATGCTCAAATTCCTTGCAAGAACAATGGACCTCTTCATTTTCCGGGATCCACAACACAAGGCATTCTCCTTCCATTTTTTTGAAGTGAGGTACAATGTATGAACCATTTGGCATTTCAGACACCGCATATTGCATGGATAGGACCATTTCATTTTGCAACACACTGAAAGCATAAGGTGTGAGAACGCTCTTGGCATGTTCTTCCATAGGCATGCATGTCTTCACATTCAGGTTGTGAAACTGTTCGGGGTTTTGGTATGCCATGCTTGCAGCAGCACCGACCTGCATGATCCCTAGCAAGAAATCAAGATAATAGGAAACAGTTTCGAAATTGGGCATTGTTTAAGTTCTGTAGGATTACAAACCTGTTCAAGAAACACTTGTAAGGATGTCTGTCCAGCAACAATTCTTTTCGAGAAGGAATCTAGAGAGAGTTTATACTCAGCTGTCATAGCTCGGGCGACAAAATGACCTCTGATATAACAAGGCAACCAGGATGCTCTAAGTGAATACAACAGCGCAACATGCTTATCTGAAGCAAGACCAAACCGAGTGGCAAATAGATTCCATTGCTGTTCAAATTCATTTGCATTCCCTGTCCGACATAAAATTTCAAACCCGGCTCTGAAATCTTCATACTGCGATCCAAGAGCCTGACAAAACCAGCTCGATAGTTTGGAGACAATGTGCCACATAAATATAACGTGGTTCGTATTTGGCAGTTCCCTAGCTATAGCATCAATAAGCGCAGTATCGATATCAGTCAGAATTGTCTGTGGATGCCTTCCTCTCATGAAACGGACAAAAGTCTGTTCAAAAAAGGACAGGAATAAGCACAAAAGGAAGAAAAGTGTTCCTAGATAGAGATGATCGTGAGAATATGCATGCACAAACCTGTAGAGCCCATGTGAAAGCACGACAGCTCTCATCCTGAAGCAAAACACATCCAAGAAGAATTGCCTTTCCATGATTGTCTATACCAAATAACACTCCGAGAAGCAAGCCGTAGGTGATTGAACGATATGTGGTGTCAAAAATGACGACATCACCAAATAACGAGTAGGCACGAACAGATTCTCCATAAGACCATGCAAGGTTTTCAACCTTATGACTTTCGTCTGTTGTATAGTCATAAGAGAAATCCATATCCCTCTCAGCCATAGCTTTGCAGGACTCTAGGAGTTCCAGTATGTCATTCTCTCGTTTTTCGGCAAGAAAAGCATCGTTTTCTTGAACGGTCTTCTTACACGTCCTAACGAAGTTTCTAACGTCTTTCTCTATAAAAGGCAACTGTCCCGGCTGAACACCCTTTTCTAGCTCCAACAACTTCACTATCCGATTCACAGGAAACCCAGCTTTAGACAGCAGAAGAATCCTTTCCTGATCAGCTTGCTGTATCTTCCGATATGCTGGGAGCAGCCTCACTTGGTCATCCTCCAAAAGTTCGTGGTTATGAACATTGCTGAACTGTGAGACATACCACTGAATTACTCCATCAACAATTTCCTTTGTCAAATATAACTTGGCATCGCATCCGCATCGTACTGATTTACGTTCACGCGGATGCTCGACATTGGCTTTCTTCCTAGGTTGATTGAACCCAGAACGGTAACAAACAAAATCTCGCCTATAGACTCCTAAATTCTGGCTTTCAGTAGACCGTGCCTTCCTGATCGAAAACCCGTTCTTCCTAGCAAAAGTGATGTAGTATTCAAATGCCTCGTCATCGGTTCTGAATATTTGACCAACATAAGGCGTGAACACGGTGTCGTACGAAGACGATGATGCTTGTTCTGTCTCTCTCTTTGTTACCTGACAACTTGCTCCTGATGTCTGATCATCTCCATCAAATCTAATGTAACACTTCCAGTCACCACAAGGGCACTGCTGTCGCCGAATCCAGATATTACTTAACGGCTTCAATGCCATTTCCAGGGAAGAACTCATAAAATCTTCATTTGCTTCCAAGGCGTGAAAATTTAGAGGTAAACATATGAGTTATGCAGGATCACTGGCGTAGCATCAAGAGCCAGAGAAGACAGAAAAAACACAACCTGGATTACTGTCACACAATATGACTAATCAGAATCCAGACAGAAAACAGCTTCCAGACAAACCAAACGCACACACAGAAACCCTAAATGTCACTAACACCCTCCACCTCAATCAACAAAAAACAAAAGGGTCTTCCAAAATTGTCGCAAGTTCCAGCCTTTTTTAAGAGTCGGATATCGAACACTCAACCAATCAAATCCAATTCGCATCGGGAAATTTGTGTAGGTCGCTACAAAAACAACAGACTCGGAAACAGTCTCGAAGAAAAGAGCTCACATAAAAGACACAAACATCGAGAGTAAACAAGGGGCAATGAATCGAAGATTCGGACAAAGAATCAATTAGAGAACGGAAAGACTGGCAAAAGAAACCGATCAAACTTCTATTCGCCGGAAAATTCGACTCTTACCTTTCTCCTCTCGCCTTCGTTCCTCGCCGCTC